TCTCCACTGCTCTAGAGTCCAGTGGCGGCGTGCTTTACACCACCGCATCCGACGCTTTGCATTGCACTTGGTGATGTATGGCTTGGATGCAGCTGCTCGACCATGGAAACCCATTCCATGAAGCTCTCTGCGCACTGTTCTTGAGCTAATCTGAAGGCCACATGAAGTTTGGAGGTCTGTAGTGATTGACTCTGCAGAAAGTTGGCGACCTCTTCGCACTATGCGCGTCAGCATCCGCTGACCCCGCTCCGTCAGTTTACGTGGCCTACCACTTCGTGGCTGAGTTGCTGTCGTTCCCAAACACTTCCATTTTCTTATAATACAGCTGACAGTTGACTGTGGAATATTTAGGAGCGAGGAAATTTCACGACTGGATTTGTTGCACAGGTGGCATCCTATCACAGTTCCACGCTGGAATTCACTGAGCTCCTGAGAGCGACCCATTCTTTCACAAATGTTTGTAAAAACAGTCTGCATGCCTAGGTGCTTGAATTTATACACCTGTGGCCATGGAAGTGATTGGAACACCTGATTCCAATAATTTGGATGGGTGAGCAAATACTTTTGGCAATATAGTGTATATATATATACATATATGTACATATATATATATATATATATATATACATATATATATATACATATATATATATATACATATATGTACATATATATATATATACATATATGTACATATATATATATATATATACATATATATATATATATATATATACATATATATACATATATATATATACATATATGTACATATATATATATATATATATATATATATATATATATATACATATATATACATATATATATATACATATATGTACATATATATATATATATATATATATATATATATATATACATATATATATATACATATATGTACATATATATATATATATATATATATATATATATATATGTATATATATATATATATATACATATATATATATACATATATATATATACATATATATATATACATATATATATATACATATATATATATACATATATATATATACATATATATATATACATATATATATATACATATATATATATATATATATATATATATATATACATGAATCGATCATTGACTTATCAACCGATTCAAGCTCTATGAAGTTTCTGAGTTTACATAAATGTATGGGATCTACCTTTCTTTTCTGCAATCTGTTCATTGCAGCAGCTTTCTGTTATCCCCATTTAAACCAGGGTTTTTGAAATATATATATATATATATATATATATATATATATATATATATATATTTTGAAATATATATACATATATATATATATATATATATATACATATATACATATATATATATATACATATATATATATATATATATATATATATATATATATATATAAGTAACTATATATATAAGTAACTATATATATATATATATATATATATATATATATATATATATATATATATATATATACAACTAACTGTTATATGCTGATAGTATTATATATTATATTTACAGATAAGCAACTGATGGTATCTACACACAGTAAAATGAAATGTCTGGGAACTTCTTTCTCTTTTAGGATTTAAGGATTTATTTATAGTAAAATTTACCCTGGTGATAAAGACAATTGGTCTTTTGAACTTTTTCAAACAGTTACGTTTAAATGGTCACCTAACATGCTTGACACTTGGGAATGAATATTCCTACAACATCCTGAATCAAATTAAAACACCATTTAGTAAAATGGGAAATAATTCTGCTATTCCTTTTTGGGAGCGTCAGAATAAATCACCAAGCTGTTATATTTGTTTATGTCCCTCCCTGTTTGGATCCAGGTGACCACTTTTATAAAAAAAAAAAAAATACGGTAAATAAATAAGTTAAAAAATCTCCTTTTTCTTCCACAGAAAAAAGGCCAAAATCCCGGAGTACTCAGACACTGATAAGAGTAACAATAAAGAGAGTGCGCCTGATAATACCTGGAAAAGTAGAAAAGCTCTTCAAGTGCTCATGAGAACACAGCAGAACACCAATGACATTAACATTAGAGACCTACCAAAGATTATGAGTGGTAGTTCGAGCCAGATGCTGGCCAGTCTGTAGAGCAAGAAAGGCGAAACAATTCCTCCAACGTCACAAAGAGTGGAACAAACTGACACCCCCAGGTTCCTATTATTGATTAAAAGGTTGGAGAGATACATCAGCTTAAAAGAAGTCAGCAACAAAAAATCTTACCCAATAAACACTTTATTTATGTCAGCATGTTCACCTGAGAGATGTTGGGTAGAGCTCAGTGTTAACAAACACCACCATCTCAAAGGCCATAGTAATCCCAAGCCGACCAATACTGGCCACTGTGGTCTTTATCCAGAACATGCCTGACAGAGAGGGAACATTTATCCAACAGCTGTTTCATGCCTTTTACTTAATAAACATTAACCTAAACAAGACTTACTGTCAGGAATGAAGGCAGTGATGATGCAGGAGACTCCAGCTACGATGTTGGCGGAAGCGAAAGGAAGCCGACGGCCGATGCGCTCAATCGTAAAGATGATGAGGAAAGCGGCGGGAAACTCAACCAGGGCGCAGATGAGGAAGTCGATATAGACGTTTCCTTTTGTTATCCCGACCCGCATGATGAGACCCTGATAAACCACAGCGCTGGTGAACCTAAGGAATGAAGACATTAGAAGTGAAATCTTTCCTACATGCTGAGGCTGGAATGATTTGTCAGTTCAGATGGGTCTGACCAGTTAAACATGAGGATGAAAGTGTGTTTTCTCATATTGGGGGTTCTGATCAAGTCCAACAAAGAGGTAGAAGTGGACTCCACTTCATCATCAGTTAATATCTATGATAAGACACAATTAGTTAAGATTAGTTTCCATTATACTTAATAGTAGCTTGCATTATTTATTAGATTGCTAAGAAAATATGTTAAGAGATACCACCCCCATTTGGTTTCACCACGTAGCTATTTTGTAGATCATCATACACTGTTCTTAACAGCACATACAGTTGTCATGTTTTTCAGTAGGCATTAAAACAAGGACAGAATAGTGCCACGGATTAACTCAATTCTGTCAGTAGATATAATTTTAAGGACAGCAACATCACCATATTTAATAAATAATAATAATAATAATTGAACTGTCAAAAGGGAGTTTTTCCTCTCCACTTTCGCTACAAGCATGCTTAGTGTGAGGGATTGCTGAAGAGTCAATGAGTCGATGCAATCAACTGGTTTTCCTTAGACAGAAAACTGAATAATTTTGATAGGATGATCTGGTGAACTGTAAAGTACCTTGAGATGACGCGTTGTGAATTGGCGCTATAGAAATAAACTGAATTGAATTTAAACTTTATTGATCTCACATTGGAGAAATTTACCTCTAAATTTAACCCATTGCCTTGGGGAGCAGGAGGCTGCCATTGTGCGTCGCCCGGGGAGCAATCAGGGTTTAAGTGTCTTTGCTCAGAGACCCAGAGTGGAAGTCTGTGGTAGTGGGACTCGAACTCAGAACCTCCGGATTCCAAGCTCTATGCCCCTAACCAAGATTAAAATTAAATTTGGCCACATTTGCCGAGACAGAAAAAAGCGCTAAATGGCTGTGGGGTAAATTGACTTACATCCTAAAAAAATAACCGTCCCTTGAAAAAATAATCTGTCTTAGTAAATTCAGGTTTGAGTCAAATGTTTGAAAAATCTTTCTTACACGGATGAAAAGGCACAAAAAAAAGACGTAGCATCTTTATTGTGTTGAAGAAAGAAGGGTCCCTTGTTCATTTTCAAAGGAGTAGGCACCCCTGCTGGTAACTATCTTTATTTGATTCATGTCAAAATAAAGTTTAGATACTAAATTTGCAGAATAGTCTTAAAAATGATGTCTTTATTATTTGAATATATCCTTTTGTAAAAGAACCGTGTTAACCAATTATTGCCTAAATCCGTACACCAATAAGGAAAGGCAAACTTCAGAGTTTTTTCAACATCCACCGCCATCAGATGTGTTGAAAATTTTGAAAAACCTCTAAATCATGTCACAGACTCTGTATCAAACCGACCGTATCGATGCATTTTTTTTGCATTTGATCACTGCTGCACTTCAAGAAATGGAAATGTCATGAGAGCTGTGCAAAATGAAATGTCACTTTGTATACACTGTGTATACAAAATGACATTGTTTAAATCTAAGTCAAAATAATATCAGATTTACCTCAAAGTTTAAGGAGAGTTTTTTCCCGTTCTCCTTGGCGATAGCTTTGGTTATTTCCAGAGCTTTTGAGGAATTGTTCGTGGAGATGAGCCACCTTGGTGACTCTGGGACGAACCTGACGAATGAAGCCGTGAAAAACATTTAATGTTCAGGGAAGACATAAAGGGTTATTTGAGGATAATGTAAATGGCTGTTATTATTGGGGTGGCTTAATCTTTCATTTAGGCATGTTAGATATTTTATAACCCAATAATTAATCTTAAGGCAACTTTTTATTACCAGTAGAAAGCAATATAAAGGGCACATGGTGCAGTGATGGCAACCTGTAGCCAACGCCAGTCAGTGATGAAATAGGCGAGGAGGGGGAGGATGAGCATCCCAACACTGAAGAACATCTGATACAAGATCCCGACTGTGCGTCTGTACTTTACTCCCACTATTTCTGTCACTAAAACAACGGAAAAGCAAGAACAATAAAGCATATTCAGATTATATAGCGGAAACAAGACAACTGGTTGATTTCTACCTCCTTTATCTAGCACTTTTTATAGAATTTGTCATGCTTACACATACGGGTGGAAAATTTATCAGCACTAAAGGTGCATAGTCACGTTATAAGCCTATACAAAAAATACCAAAAATGATGCTCAAGATAAAATAAGATTATTTACCCTGACACCTGTATTGATAGCATTTTGATTTTCCTTTTTGAGCCTTAATGGCACCAGACTAGGCATGATGAGGAACTACCAGAAAGCTAGACGATGGCAATACACAGCTGATTAAAGTCCGACCGTCCTGCAATGCTGCTCGGCATAGTCAAAAACCAATGGGTATTAATTAAATAAGCAACTGAAAGTTTTTAGTCAATCTATCCTAAAACGTCCGATCAGAATTTCAAGGAAAAAAGAAAATTCCTTTTCCTAAAAGCAAACAAGGACATAGCATCAAGGTAAGAAGTGTTTCAATCAAATAAAGAAAACAAAACGTCATAGGCTAAAACCTTTTCAATGGAATGAATGCAAATTAAACACATTAAAATACGTGCATCATTTATGAACCCTGATCTGAATCTGATCTTGAATAGCCTCCAGGAAGTTTAGTAGCTCTGGTTGAAAACTGCTTCAACGAAGCGTAAAACACACACAAAAAAAAATAAAAATAACACACCAGAATGATGTGGTAATCTTCTCAAAATACTTTATATGCATCCGTAGTTTGCTGCTGCCGTATACTTTTTGACATGCAAATAATACAACTTTAATATGGGTATCAGCAAATGTTTTTCTTTTAAACATATTGGTATCAATTTAATGAGTGAAACTGGGCTGATTTTTAAAACTGATATTAATGCCCTTTTATTACAGGAGGGGATCAATTACGTTCTATTAGGCTACGTTCACACTGCAGACAAATGTGGCCCAAACACGATTTTTTTTTTTCCCCTGAAGTTACTCCGGTAAGATTGTTTCATGTTTGTGTGAACAGGCCTAGTCTCGCAGATTCTGACTTTGCCAACGATCCACAACCTTATTTATATTTTTCAGTGTAGTCCTGTTTCTCTGACTGTGACTTGCTGGTTTTGCTCTCTTTATGCTTTGGCATGGGTGTCGTCTGCCTGGCTGTGTGTTTCCTGGACGGGGCCGCCTTTTACAGCTGCTTTTTGTATCTCTGCTTCTGTCTCCTTGAACCCCAGTCGGCCTCAGGAGATGGTCGCTCACACTGAGCCTGGTTCTGCTGGAGGTTTCTTCCTGTTAAAAGGGAGTTTTTCCTCTCCACTGTCGCTACAAGCATGCTTAGTGTGAGGGATTGCATTCGAGTCAATGAGTCGATGCACTCAACTGGTTTTCCTTAGATAGAAAACTTTGAATCAATTTGACTGGATGATCTGGTTGAACTGTAAAGTGCCTTGAGATGACGTGTTATGAATTGGGGCTTTAGGATAAACTGAACTGAATTGATCTGAAAATAAATTTTAGGGGTCATTTGATCACAGCTAGGGCTGCAACTAACGATTATTTGCAAATCGATTATTCTATTGATTATTTTGTAGATGAATCGATTAATAATCAAAAAGCAAAAGGTTCCTTAAAGAAGACCTTTTACGAAATTAAACCAGGTGAAAATCAAAATGTTCCACTTTAGGAGCTCTGGATAGAGCATATTGACAGATGAAAAATATTTTATTATCTTAAAGATAAAATGTTTATTATTTTACAATTTTGCTATAATTGCTGTTCTCTGTCAACTAAAGCCATGTTTTATAGTCTTTACACTCCAGTCCAAAATTAATTGATTGATTAGTTGACAATTATTTTAATAATCGATTAATCATGATTAATCCGATAAATTAGTTTGAACCCTAATCACAACGCAGCACCCATACATTACTCCTTGGAGAATTTACTGCCACTGCTCCACAGAAAGCTGTAATTAATAGTTTAGCTCTCTTATTCTCCTCTGTCTCCTTCTCTGCGTTTTCTGTTTTATCATCTGGCAACTTCCACTGCTTTACAGCTTTAAATCCATCCATAGACACTGACTTCTGACACATCTTGTTATTGTTCTTCTGCGCATGCAGGTCACTTCAGGGACACATGAGATGGTCATGTGAGGATAGCCTGGGTGCCATTCCGAACTTAGTCCCGCCCACAACGTTTGAGGTCAGGAAGTTCGGTCTGGAATTGCTCAACAGTAGTGCGAGTATTCTCGCACAATATCTGGCGGGCCAATCAAATTGTCAGGGCGGGCTTTATACTATGATGGACAGATGATCAACAGTAACGTAATCAACCACGTCACCAAAGCGTGCTTGGGTGACAACAACAATGGCTGCCGCTGGAGAGTTGAGGTGAGTAGATTCTGCTATTAGGTCTGTTCTAGAAGATATCGACAGCAAATTAATTTTAAAAGAGGAACAGAGAAACGCGATCAAGGCTCATCTTCTTATTCTAGGCGTGCAACTGCACGCTTTGATTTTTGTTGACAACAACTATGCGTCGCTTAACATACGTCACATACTCCGTTGCTCTTATTGGTTGTAGGTCTATCCAATTGAGTGCAGAGGCATTTTTTTTCCTGGTTCGTTTGAAACACGCCCCATAATCACAGCTCTATGGAGCAGTATCAGACTCATATTCTGACTAGAATTGAGTAGGACTACGTCAGGCTAATGGAGCCAAACAAGAAAAAAAATAAGATTTGACAAAAAATTGGAATTAAGCATTAAAGGAATAGTACACCCAAAACATGATTAGCCTTCATTTTCTACTCAGCCCCATGCTGAACAACACTCTGGAGTACTTTTTTGATATCTCAAATGCGTCTGGAGATCTGGGAGGCTTCTTGCTGTCTGCTGACATTCAAATAATGGAGGTCTATGGCGCCCGAGACAGAAAGGTCCATAAAAGTCCACAAAAAACGTGTCAATATTCCTCCATACTGCTCGTCCAATGTATTCCAAGTGTCCTGAGTGGGTAGCATCCAGAATTGACTCGAAACGAAGTCATTTAGAATGTTTTTAGAGCATAAACAGTAGTGTATAGGATTTCCTAAAAGCGCGTTCACGAGTCTACGGAAACCGCGGCAGACCAAACCGGATGAAAGTGCGCATTCAGCTCGGCAAAGAACTCATGCTCTTCCTCAACACTGAAGTCCTCAGACATTTTTCTTTCGTTGTTTCTTTCTTTGCACAGGTAAACAGCACATTTCTTCTTCTACGCTTGCATTATCGGCAGAGCAGACGCTGAATGCGCACTTTCATCTGGTTTGGTCTGTCGCGGTTTCCGTAGCGTCGTGAACGCGCAGGCGCGCTTTCAGCAAGAAGCCTCCCAGATCTCCAGATGCATTTGAGATATCAAAAAAGTACTCCAGAGTGTTGTTCAGCATGGGGGTGAGTAGAAAATGAAGGCTAATCATGTTTTGGGTGTACTATTCCTTTAAGACCTGCAGTGTGAATGTAGCCTTGGTATGGTAACATGACAGTGTTTGCAAAGCAACTCTGGATTGTTTGTGTTTAACTGAAGCAGAGGATCAATGTTGGCGCTGTGGTTGGTCTTTCACTGTGTCCAAAATGTAGAGAAAGGTATGACTTATGACATTAGTAATTATTGTTTATCAGCTATAATAGCTATGTTAAAGGGGAACACCGTTTTTTTTACATTGACCCCTTGATTTTACGTTATTACATCATGTTCTACTCACCCATGTGAGTCTTGTGTCATTAGGAGCTGTTCTGAAGATGTTTGGTTTTGTTATATCCAAGTACAGTCCTCCTACTGTTCATAATTTATTCTTTATGGTACGCCAGAATTCATAACATGTAGGCGAATCACTGTCCCCCAGAGATCCACAGTTATATTTTTTTTATATTTATATATATTTTTTTAATCGGAGTGTGTGCAAAGCTCCAAATGACACAAAATCACATTGGTGAGTAGAACATGATGTAATAACGTAAAATCAAGGTGCCAATGTAAAAAAAAAAAAGGGTGTTCCCCTTTAATAGTGAATACTAATCTATCTGTCCAGATTTGAATGTCGGCCCATCCCTACTTACATCTTCTATGTCATAATTAATGTTTATATATGAATGTTCAGGTAACATGAAAAGCCATCATTACGCAGCACATAAATGGCCATCCAGCCTCCTTTGGAGCTGAAGCCGAGGATAGCCCTGAGCACCAGGATGGAGATGACATCTGGAACCGCAGCCATAGCAAATCCTGCTGCTACGTTTATCACGTTGGTTAACAGGAAAGTCTTCATTCTGCCAAATCTACACATAAAAAAAACCCATAAAGATAGCATCAAGCAAAGATTAACAGAGGAAATATTTTCAAAGTGAAATTCCTGGCCCTACCTGTCAGCAAAGTAACCAAAAGCAAAGCTGCCTACGAGGAAGCCCACGTTGAGAGTTGACTGGTACATATCCACCATCCATCCATTGGAACACACCAGGTTGAACTGGAGGGTTTAATAAGAGAAATGGCAGATTTTTTTAAAGTAGAAAACAAGAGCTAATACTGTGCAAGTGTGCAAGATTAGGAGGTGGCAGGTTCCTCATGTCCATCTGTCACTGGAAGAGTTATGCATTTCCCCAGTCCATCACAGGATTCAAAAAGAGACATACGTGAGATAAACTAGCATGCATGTGCACGCTTACAGTTAATGCCAATCTCTAGACCTGAGTGATTAATGAAAACCTCCAGAGGTCACTACATGTGCAGGAAATATTTTAATATGTGCTACTTCTCTTTTGATGTTATTGACCAAAGTTGAAAGCTTTAGAATCAGAATCAGAAATACTTTAATGATCCCAGGGGAAAATTATATTTGTTACACAATCCAGGTAAACAAACAACATTCCGCAAACATTCATTATCTAAAGAAATAAAATACAATGCAAGGAAATGCAATACAACATTTGTCCTGCATAAACGTGGCCAAATTAATAAGTTTATTTAACTTGAAGAAGGTGGGGGGCTCGTTGACCTTTGGCGACCTCTGGAAGATTTCATTAATCTCCGTAAAAAGAAAGCGGCAGAAATGAAAACTCTGGCTGCTTTAATTCAACACACAAATGTAATACAAAGTTCTGTTGATTTGAAGAACGGGAGGAGCCCAACTTCATCCCGGTAATCTGTAGCTGTAGCTAAGGATATAAACCAGGGCTTTACTATGCAGCTTCCTCTCGTGATGTAAAATGATATCAAATTAATTCAAAACTATTTAGATGAACCGTTTTTCTTACCTCTGTGACAAATGACTTCCTGCCTTCATAATGATACTCCCAGCCCTCCTAAAAGACAGAACATAAAATAAAAGACAATCTTCCTGTCCAGTTAGTCAGTATATTAATCAGAGTTTAAATCAAACAATCTCCCATACCATCCCCTGTGACATTTTATCACTGAATGTGTAAATGTCTACTATATATTAACAGTAATGGAAATAATATTGCCCTTTTAACTATTGGCAGGTTAAGCTTACGAGTAGCGCTTAGCCTGAATTTATTCATCGCACACTGACTGTAGCACATCGAGTAAAATGTCTCGATACAAGTAAAATCCTATTAATTTGAATTTATCTTTCCACCAAAACTATCAACTTTAAGGCATCAATGTTTAAAATATCCCTTTTCGTTCATGTTTCAATCCGTTCTCTCATCAATGGGCCTGAGTTTAGGGCGATGTGAAATGGGAGGTCATTTTCTGCAGGCCGGGAATTCTCTGCACAACAGATAAAACCCAGAGGAGAGAATTGAAGCAGGGGTGGATTTAGGAAATTTGGACCCCTAGAATTGAGAAGACAACTCATAATACAGGCCCATTATAGAGATACAGAAATTTTAATAGAATAGACAAACATTATTTACTAAATTTTGAGATTTTGAAAAATTACTTCAGCTGTTTCAATTTAATTGATTGAATATGAATTAAAGAAATACTGTGCTTGAAAGGATTCAGATATTCATTTGTAATGTTTTATGAGGCTTTGTTCGAAATCTTAATAGATTTATTGCCAAAAGATTCTCCAAAGTAAAATCAAAGAAGTGTCCTACCACTATGAAGCTGATTATAGTGTGAAATTAGTCTCTAACTATGTAGGGGCAGTGATAGCCATGCCAGATGACCTGCGTACCTGACATGGAACAACCAGACCATGCATATTGCTTATTATTAATGCATATTGCTTATTATTGATATTAATATTAATTAGGCAATGTTTACTTCCAAAAAAGAAAAAAATTCCGCCATCCCCCTTCTTCTTTTTTTCCTTACAACTCGACTACTGTCCAGTGGTACCGGTTATTTTCGTTTTGTTTGAAATTAATCCATCTAATTCACAAGAAAACATGGAACCCAGTGATAGTTCAGGAGTAGCTTATTAAACATGTTTAAATTCTATGCTAAGCTTGACCAGTGATTAGGACAGTTACAGATCAATTTGCACCTTTTTGTAACATTTATATCCATTTAGAAATAATCTATATTTAATTTATAAACAACGTCCGAGTAGTTCACCATTGTTTCAGTTTTTATCTGTAGAAATTGAAGTATTCAATGTAAAGATTTAGATGTGCATTATTCTCTGAAGATTTTACTTTAAATAAATTGCCAATAACTGTCATGTCTGCCTGGGTCAATGTTATTTACTAAAAGCACATAACATTTTCGTAAGAGCCGACAATGAATAGATAGTTGAAAAATCTTCCTAAATTATTGATTGACAAAGTAGGCAAGTAGACTGCTTATTTTGTGAATGTAAAACACTAAATTCCAGTGTTTTTTTTTTTTTTACTGTCATACACTGTCATAAGTACAGCCCAACAAAATTCACTCTCTGCATTTAAGCCAGCAGTGGGCTTCCATTGTGTGGGGTGCAGGGAGCAGTGTGGGGTTTAGGGTCTTGCTCAGAAAGCCAGAGTGGAGGCTGTGGGGGTGGGTTTCGAGCTCACAACTTCAGGATTCCAAGTGGTATGCCCTAACCACCAGGCTGCCACTCCCCTGTGGTGAAAGCCAAACAATTGAAAGGTATGAAGTTGCCAAAAGGTAAAAAGACCATAACCTGCTTATAAACCAAACAACTGCAGGTTTCTAATTTATTGCTTGGCTAACATTTTTGGTTGGCATTTCTAATACTGAGAAAATTCATGTGTCTAAAACTCATGTGTCTAAAAGCATGCACCACACTCATATCACAGTGATGGGTCAGCACAACACCATTACATTCTGGCATTATTTGCACCCCGTACCGACTGCCTAGAAGCAATGGCAGTAGTTGCATTAATAAGCAAAGTGCAGAACGCTTCTACAAATGCACAGGTCAACCTAGGTCAACTGAAACTTCAGCTACTCAGCAAAATACTCTGCTATTGAAATCTGTATGTTAGTACAGGTAGCTAACAGTGAAAGGTAAGGCTTTAGGTGAGCCTGAAGTGACGTACACAAGAAGGTACACTTTGTGCCATGTTTGATTGCTCTAAAAGAGTTTATACACTGCAAAAAATATAAATCTCAATAAGTTATTTTTTCTTAAAATAAGTGTGTTTTTCCTTGATTTGAGGAGATAAGTAAGACACTTTGCCAATGGAACAAGACAATTTCCTTTTAAAATAAGAAAAAACTATTTTATCGTCTTATTTCAAGTAAATATTATCTAACTATCTTATTTTAAGAGTGAAAATACTCATTCCATTGGCAAATCATCTTATTTACCTGCTCAAATTAAGGCTAAATATACTTAATTTAAGCCATTTTTTACTTATTTCTGGATTGTTTTTGCAGTGTAGGCTTGAAAGGTGACAGAAAACAAACCAATGGAAGGCTCCACTGAGTCCACCAAAAAATGAGTATAAGAAGAAGAAATGTGGTTGTATTCCACCATTCAGTTACAATATCCCCACAGAAAAGATGCAGACTAACCTGTATGACTGCAATACTGCCCATCACACCTGTCAGAACTCAACATGAACAACAGCTTGTCAGAAGCTCTTTGAGTAGGGCTAGAGATTGCTTCTGACTCCAGCCTTTCACTGAATTACAAGGTCTGACCAGGAGATGACACTTTTCTTTAGATCTTAATGTCCACAAATCATGATGGAACGAATATTTTAGTACAGAGACTGATGTTTAAAATGAAAATGAAGAGGGACTAGCCAAGGCCAAGGCAACTACAATAAATCATCAACTATCCAGCATTTGAAATAGTCCAAATCATTGCTCTTCGCCATCTTTGAATGTTATTTGGCATCTAAAAAAAGGACCGAACCCTTAATGCACTGCCAGGCTTTAAATGTGCATTCAACTTATTTATAATGGTATATTACCAAGCATACAGTTAAAAACAATTGACTTCTATGTTTTTTCCAGCATTCTCCTGCTCAAAGTGTTAAAAAAAAGGGCTGTGACATTATTTTTACAATGTGCTATGCTACCGGGAATGTGGTCGGGAAGCACCCTCAGCACCCCAAAAAATACATTTTTTGAAAATGTATTTTTAATACATTTTCGAAACATTTATTAAAAATAATTTGCACAATTTATACATTTCTTATGAATATTTTGGGAAATTATTTTGACAGTTTTTATTTACTATTACATGTATTTGGATTTTAATTTAATTATTTTGAGGCTTAATCAAATGGAAGTTACGTTGTCATGGAAACGTCAACAATACAACCACTGCATGTTCAGCTCTTGAAGACTAGTAAATTTACATAACCTAATGACAGAAACGAGGAGAAAATATGGCACAGAAATGCATTTCTGATTCTTTCGCTTATGAGAGACTCCACGACCCCAGAGCGCACCTCAACATTTGGACACCTGTAGGGCATCTTGCCTTTAGCTCAAAGTAAGAGCATGATGCTGCACCGTAGTATTTTACAGTGTTATTGGGTTTCTTTGTGTAACAGAGAACTGTTTTATAATGTTCAATTATAGTATAATGACATAATTATTTCCTTTTGGTTTGCGTAAAGAGAACTGATAATGTCTGTGTGTTACAGGCCCTGGTTGCATGCACTGAAGTGTATATGACAGTAAAGTAGTGAATCGATTATCTCAATTATTTACTTATTTAATTGTATTTTAAATAGACCTATAGGCTCATAGGTCTTTTGTCCAAAATAAACGAACAACAAATATTTCACAGCACCCCCTGTTCAAAAGTACTTCCAGCTGCCCTGCTTTGCTATGTGACATGATATCTTTGTCTGGGCTGTTGAGGGTTTTTCTCTTTTTCCAAATGTTGCATAAACCCCTTAATAACTCTGGATAAGAGCGACTTTAAATGTCTAATCTTTGTGAGAAACAGGAACATGGGAAGACTTAAAACAACAGTGGAGCTTCATCTTCTTTTAAGCTTTGGTGATTCGTTTGAAGAGAAGCCTTAACACCTCTACAGGAACATCTTTATGTCATTCCAGGGTCACAGGGGAAGTGATTAAAAACAAACACACCAATATTAGATTCTCAGCCATTTTCACCACAACAAAAATAAATCCCTTTACAGGAAATCTTTTCATCACTTCTTAGGGACTGACATTGTATTCTGTACATGTATGTTTATTGTCGACTCAAGGTTATGGGATTGTGGATTTGGATGCTTTTCAATAGTTTCACGCTTGAAGAATTTGCTTCGATACATTTTTATTAGCGCTGAGGTCTTACATGAAAACTCCTTTTCGAAGCCAAAGCTCAGCTAGCAAAACAAAGCTCAGAAAAGGAAACGACTTTGTCAAAATAACCATTGAATGCTTGTTTACCTCCATTGTCAGATAGCTCACAATCATTTTGAAATAAAACTAGCTCAGCTGCTTTCAATGAACTGTTAAATCTTCATAAGTTAGGCCAAGGTTACCTAAATAGAACCATGAAAATAAAATTGTCGCTTAATCCTCTTCAGAATTTAGTCGGTTCATAAAAAAACTAATCAAAGTAAAATGGCTATTCTCCGTTGGATATTGTTTTTAGATATTTTTCTTAGAATAAATTCTATTATCTAGAGTCATCCCTACAACCTGCATCCAATCCGTAGAAAATATGCTTCATATACAATATTTATAATTGACATTTTTATGAAAATAGTTAAAAGACTAACATAAAGAACTAACAACTTTAGTTTTGTTAATTGATAAATAGGGATGTTGCTACCTCAATGTACCACCAAGATTTAGATTATTTTTCAGGACATTACTCACACATATTAATGCTCAGTGCAGGCTGATGAACTCAAAACCTCACTTACGTACCTCAAGAAGGTCGGATCTATTGCTAAATGGGTCACCCAGTCAAGTCTGCTGCTTTACAGCAGTTTGAGCTCCCCTTTAAAGTTATTGTCAGGCAACAAAACAAGTATGACCCTTTTAGATTAGATATATAACTTCTCTATTCTAGGATTTAAATGGCCTTGTCTTTCCAAGTAATTTGATGACTTCTTAGAAAAATGTTTAAGAATAACATAATAGGGAAGAGTTAAAAGATAAACAATTAAAATACTGTGCTGTAAAGTGTTTTAAAAATATAAATACTGTGCACCTGGAGAAATAGCCATTATACAGCTATGTACATTTTAACAGTAATGGATATTTGAATATAGCAGCAACATCAGAGATGTACGGAGCCCCTAAAGGGACATGGAGGGTAAAAAATAAACTTTTGCGAGATCCCGCAATACTTTTGCGAGATGCCGCAATACTTTTGCTGGATCTCGCAAAACTATTGCGGGATCTCACAAAAGTAATGCGGGATCTTGCAAAAGTATTGCGAGATCCTGCAAAAGTGTTGCGGGATCTTGCAAAAGTATTGCGAGATCTCGCAAAAGTATTGCGAGATCCTGCAAAAGTGTTGCGGGATCTTGCAAAAGTATTGCGAGATCTCGCAAAAAATAAACTTTTGTGAGATCTCGCAAAACTATTGCGGGATCTCGCAAAAGTATTGCGAGATCCTGCAAAAGTGTTGCGGGATCTTGCAAAAGTATTGCGAGATCTCGCAAAAAATAAACTTTTGTGAGATCTCGCAAAACTATTGCGGGATCTCGCAAAAGTATTGCGGGATCTCTCAAAAGTATTGCGGGATCTCTCAAAAGTTCCCCTCTATGTCCCTTTAGGGGCTCCGTAGAGATGTGCAAAGTGACAGCAGTATGTTATTTAACTGACCAAGGTGAAAACTGCAAAATCAGCATGATTGTGGTGGTTATAGAGTCTTACAGCTGCTGGGAGGAAGGATCTGTGATAACACTCCCTGGTGCATTTAGGGTGCAGCAGGCTGTCACTTCCAGTTCTGCACCAGCTTCATGCATGGGCTGGGAAACATTATCCAAAAGAGATGTTCATTTAGTTAGGATCCTTTTGTTTACCACCACCTGCACTGAGTTCAGAGGTTATCCAATCACAGAGCTGGCCTTCCTGATCAGCCACTTTCTCTCAGCCATAGATAAGCCACTGCTCCAACAGACAGCTCCATAGAAGACGGCTGATGCCACAACAGACACAAGGAATGTCTTTAGGAGCACCCTCTGCACCTTTTGGAGTCTTTGGAGTGTTAATCAACCAGATTAACTAACTGAATAAAGTCATAAAGCTTTATTCTTTTTTAAACGATTTACTATTAAATTGTAATCATAGATAAATGACAAAAACCTGACCTTGCATTCTACCACAGAAAGCCTGCTCAGATCCAGTTCTTCTGAGTCACAGGTAAGTTCTGTGCTGTTCCAGTCCACCTCGTACTGATGACAGCTGCTGTGCTGCAGAAGTCCTGAGCTGTTGATCATCGGCATGGTTATCCTGCGACTTTCCTCCATGCTCCATTCACAGGCCTTCCTCCTCTCCTCCAACACTGAGTCCCGGCACCAGTGATCCGGAGTGAAGCCCTGGAAGACGATCCCAACGTAGAGGCCAGCAAATTGCAACGACAGAAGACAGAGCATGGCGAAGATCCGCTTCTGACAGCGGCCAAAAGAGCCGACCTCTTCCAGGAGGTCATCAAAGGTCGCCATCGAAGCCCTAAAGTTTAAGTCACAGAAATACAGTAGATGTTGGTCTGTTCAGTCCACTGTAGCTTAGTGTAAAGGTCTGCCCTTAGAAATTTTCAGCTTTTAAATGTTGCATCACTAAGCAGGTCAATGTTTGAAGGTAAAGTCCAAAAGTCTGGTGGAATTAAAGCTAAAAGATACACAAGAGGCAAAACCTTCATTCTGTTTAATAAGTGAAGACAGATGAATTATGCAAACCCTGTTCAAACTTAATTATGTGCGATCCATAACCTAAATGTCAAAATGTGCCTTCCCTTTCCAGATTCCAGGTTGCACAATTACTGGTTCACAGAATACAGATAATGATTGTTGTCCAGGAATGTTTGGGAGTCAATGATTTACATATATAAAACAGCTTTAGGTTAAAAAAAAGGACATCTGAACAGTGTGAGGAACATTTTTACATAAAATGTAAAATATACAAAGGCTTACTAAGGTCAACTAAAAGAAAAACAAAGGGTGGATTTTTTTCTTTTGTCATATACAATGAAGATAATACATAACGTGGACAAAAATTGTTGGTACACCTCATTCAATGAAAGAAAAACACACAGTGTTCACGGAAATAACTTGAATCTGACAAAAATAAGAGTAAAGAACTACTATGAAAATGAACAAATAAGAAGTCAGACATTGCATTTCAGCCATGCTTCAACAGAAGAATTTTATTTGAATATTACTCAGGAAACAGGCCTGAATAAAAATGATTGCACCCTTAAAATTCTGTTGCACAACCTTTTAATGCAATCAAACAATTCCTCTAACTGTCACAGAAACTTCTGCTCCTCTAAGCAGGTACTTTGATCAACTCATGAGCAAACCGTTCAGAGCTCATATGGGACACTTCACAATAGTCCAATGTTTTCCTCTTTTTGAATTTTTAGCTCTATTATTTTGGGTCATTGTCAAAGACCAAAGACCAAGCTTCCACTGAGCAGAACATTTATATAATAATAAAAATAATTGAGCTTTATTTATGTCACACTGGAGAAATTCACCTCTGTATTTAACCAATCCCTTTGGGGAGCAGTAGACTGCCATTGTGTGGCACCCGGGGAGCAGTGTGGGGTTAAGGGTGTTGCTCAGGGACCCTGAGTGGTCTGTGGGAGTGGGGCTTAAACTCAGAACCTCTAAATTCAAAGCACAATTCCCTAACTGATAGGCCACCCCTCCCCCTCAAAGAAAATCTGGAATTGCTTGATGGATATCAGATTTCATTGTCACCTGTATAGATTCAGGACATGCTGCACCAAATGCAGCAAAACATATAACAAAGCCTCCTCCATGTTTCACAGTAGGGACAGTGATCTTTTTTGGATATGCTTCATTTTTCTGTCAATATAGAGCTGATGTGCCTTGGCACAAATTTACACTAAACAGTTACATAGAGAAAATAGCATCACTTTATCATTTGTTAGTGCTGTAATAAGAACACACAAGTGCTTTTCCATTTTTTTCCACTGCCGACACGCTAAAGTAAGTCTTTTAGCATAAAAAAGTTTGGATAATTATTTGATTTTGGTAATCAAATAACAAAATCACATATCTGCTCATTTTCATGCAGCTCATCTCTAACCTGATTTTATTGCAGCTTCAGATCCTTTAAATCTATTGAAGGAAAAGTAAATAAACTAACTTTAATAATCATCATGTAATCATCTATGAAATGCAGAAATATCCAGGATATAAACCTGTTTGTTATAAAGCTATATTTAGCTAATCATTGTTTTCAGTTATTCTTTGAATTGCATCATTTTAACTCTGCAGCCAGTTTGAATTGTTTTATATTCATTGTTTTGACGGAATATTTACTCCTGAATGTGTTCGGTTTTTCTTGAACCCCAGTCGGCCTCAGCAGATGGCCGCTCACACTGAGCCTGGTTCTGCTGGAGGTTTCTTCCTGTTAAAAGGAAGTTTTTCCTCTCCACTGTCGCTACAAGCATGCTTAGTGTGAGGGATTGCATTCGAGTCAATGAGTCGATGCAATCAACTGGTTTTCCTTAGATAGAAAACTGTGAATCAATTTGACTGTATGATCTGCTGAACTGTAAAGTGCCTTGAGATGACGTGTTGTGAATTGGCGCTTTATAAATAAACTGAATTGAATTATTAGCCTGCATCTGTCCAAAGTTGTTGCGCTTTACCAATTTAGAACTGAAAACTGATTAACAATTTTTTTTTTACATAAGAAATATGTGAATCTAAGATTTACAGCATTAATGGAAAATCTGTCCATCCAAATGTACAAGGAATTATTACCATGACTTCATAATTAAAAAATATATATATTTATATCACATAGAAGCTGTACACAGTTAACCTGACTCCGCCAGATGGATTTGCTGGATTTGCTCCACATATCCATCTGGAAACCTTCGGTTGAAGTAATTTTGGGAAGGGGTGAAAATACTGGTTAGCTGATTGGCCTATGTTGGTGATAAACGGGCCAAATAAACCAATCAGATCAACGAAGCACATGACGTACTAACAGAGCGACGACGAAAACACAACCACAAGCCAGGCTAGTCTTGCTGAAACCAGTCGGGAGAAGAGCAAAAACATTTTTTCCTCTGAGAAAAGCCTCCAGAGCAGTGTTTATCTCTTCTTTCAGTGAAGAAATACTCTGTAATTCCGATAAAACTTGCTCGTTAGCCACGCTAACGCTAGTTTCATCGGCTGAAGCCGCCATGTTCTTTAGACTGAACTGTCGCACTTCTTGTTGCGTCACACCTCAACCCGCCTCAAAACCAATGCTGATTGGACGTTCGTTTGGTGAACTGCTCCAAATTTTCTTTAACGGAAAGTAGCCAGACTGATTTGCGAGTGAAACCTTGAAAGCTCGCAAGATCAGGATGGTCTGACAAGGCTAGTACACAGTTGAGTTGAAGGACTTTCTCCAGAAGCGAACAGCATCCAGCTCGAAATCTCTCTACCTACAGTACTGCCAGCATAACACAACACACATATACATACACACATATATATACAGGTGCTGGTCATAAAATTAGAATATCATGAAAAAGTAGATTGATTTCAGTAATTCCATTTAAAAAGTGAAACTTGTATATTATATTCATACATTACATACAAACTCATATATTTCAGATGTTTATTTTGTTTAATTTTGATGATTACAAATGACAACAAATGAAAATCTCAAATTCATCATATCAGAAAATTAGAATATTACTGAAGACCAATAAAAACAAAGGATTTATAGAAATGTTGGCCAACTGAAAAGTATGAACATGAAAAGTATGAGCATGTACAGCACTCAGTATTTAGTTGGGCCTCCTTTGGCCTGTATTACTGCAGCAATGCGGCGTGGCATGGAGTCGATCAGTCTGTGGCACTGCTCAGGTGTTATGATAGCCCAGGTTGCTCTAATAGTGGCTTTTAGCTCTTCTGAATTGTTGGGTCTGGTGTATTGCATCTTCTTCTTCACAATACCCCATAGATTTTCTATGGGGTTAAGGTCAGGAGAGTTTGCTGGCCAATTAAGAACAGGGATCCCATGGTCCTTCAACCAGGTACTGGTAGCTTTGGCACTGTGTGCAGGTGCCAAGTCCTGTTGGAAAATGAAATCTGCATCTCCAAAAAGTTGGTCAGCTGCAGGAAGCATGAAGTGCTCTAAAACTTCCTGGTATGTGGCTGCGTTGACCCTGGACCTCAGAAAACACAATGGACCAACACCAGCAGATGACATGGCACCCCAAACCATCACTGACTGTGGAAACTTTACACTGGACTTCAAGCAACGTGGATGAAGTGCCTCTCTTCTTTTCCTCCAGACTCTGGGACCTTGATTTCCAAAGGAAATGCAAAATTTACTTTCATCAGAGAACATGACTTTGGACCACTCACCAGCAGTCCAGTCCTGTTTCTCTTTAGCCCAGGCAAGACGCTTCTGACGCTGTCTGTGGTTCAAGAGTGGCTTGACACAAGGAATGCGACAGCAGAAACCCATGTCTTTCATACGTCTGTGTGTGGTGGTTCTTGAAGCACTCACTCCAGCTGCAGTCCACTCTTTGTGAATCTCCCCCACATTTTTGAATGGGTTTTGTTTCACAATCCTCTCCAGGGTGCGGTTATCTCTCTTGCTTGTACACTTTTTTCGACCACATCTTTTCCTTCCCTTCGCCTCTCTATTAATGTGCTTGGACACTGAGCTCTGTGAACAGCCAGCCTCTTTAGCGATGACCTTTTGTGTCTTGCCCTCCTTGTGCAAGGTGTCGATGGTCGTCTTTTGGACAACTGTCAAGTCAGCAGTCTTCCCCATGATTGTGTAGCCTATAGAACTAGACTGAAAGACCATTTAAAGGCTTTTGCAGGTGGTTTGAGTTAATTAGCTGATTAGAGTGTGGCACCAGGGGCCATCAATTTTGAACCTTTTCACAATATTCTAATTTTCTGATATGATGAATTTGAGATTTTCATTTGTTGTCAATGTAATCATCAAAATTAAACAAAATAAACATCTGAAATATATGAGTTTGTATGTAATGTATGAATATAATATACAAGTTTCACTTTTTAAATGGAATTACTGAAATCAATCTACTTTTTCATGATATTCTAATTTTATGACCAGCACCCATATACACACATACATACATATATCGGTCTCCGCCAAGTGACGTCAATTGTTTACCTCGGGCGCGGTACACTACGCCTTTTCCACCTAATGTCAACAAATGTCACGTGACTGGCGGAGACCGATTTTCCTAAATCCGCCCCTGTTTTCAGGCATATGTTAACTGTAATGACTTATCTTGGACAGGCTGCTATGTAAACGGGCCTTTAGTCCTTCATTTAGCTATGCTGCGGTTGTTTACACTACGCCTTTTCCACCTAAAATGGCGCCTTAGCAACAAAAGTCACGTGACTGGCGGAGACCGATACACATATATATATATGTTTATAGAGAGAGAGAAAACGTCTCAACCTCTATCCAGGAATCTTTGTCAATTCTTTCAGCTTCACACCACAGCAATGCATACTTGGACCACGGATGTTTTTAAACATCCTAATCCTTTTGAAAAGATGTTCAAGAAACACCCAAAACATAAGCCTGCACTGAACTGGAAACTCCTGAAACAGCAGACCTATTGTCCTCAATGACTGCAGTCATTCCAATGGACTGAGGGAGTGGCATTTAAGTAAGACAAGTCATTAGGTTCCTATGAGTCTAACTGAAGGTCAGTCTGTTGTCAGAGGATACAAAGATTAAACTCTTTGCCAATAAATAAAAAATGTGCAGGTCTGTTTTTTTGCCAGAGGTACTGATGCGTTGAACCAGAAGGATAGAAAAAAATAAGTAAAGGACCAAATTCCAAATTGTTCAACATTACTTCAAATCAGCAGCCAGATGGTTGAGCAATAGTGACATTGGTGCTCATCTTTATGCACAATGTATGGAATCCACATGTATGGAAAGGAAATATCCCTTAATAGTTTGCAATGAGGAAACGCGTGCTCCTTGTTTAACCCCTCCCTTATTGAGCTATCAGGGGTTAAGGATCTTTGCTCAGAGACTCAGAGCAACAATCTGGGTTTCAAACATGCAACCTCTGCTGCCTCTAAAAGAGCTAAAGCCTAACCGCTGGCAGCACACTCTAACTCCAAAGAGAAAGGTGAGCCCCTGCTGACAGTATGTATGTTTCATGGACAAAGTTTTTAGTTTTGCTGTTGTTGTTTTTTAATGCTTGATTTAAAAAAAAATAGCTTAATAAAATAAAAGATTTAAGATGTAGGTTGAAAAAAAACAAATTACTTTTAAATTAATGAATGTCGCCCTTTTGCCCGCCATAAAACAAAATGTCCCTTTTGGGTATCTTATTTGAATAAAATACTACATTACGTAACATTTTAAATAATGTCCAAAAACAGAAAAAAACACTTTACAGTGTGCTTTATTTGACATAAAACTCTTTAATAATTTAATAATATATTGCAACTAGAGAAATATAAATGCAGATTCATCTAAGCTATACATTCAGTGAAAACATTTGCATAGATAACCAGTACCATAGATTTTAATGTACCGTAAATCCTCTAATATAGGACAGGGCCTTTATTTCACTCAGGTGCATCTTGGTCCAGGCCATTATTGGAAGGAGGCCAGAATTGGAGGCAGCCCTCTATTTCTATTTGATCAAAACAGACTACCAGTGGAATAAATAAAAACAAGATTTTGTGTCTCTTTGAATCTATAAAATACTAGGTTCATTTATTGAAAAAGTACAGTTACCATAACGGTACAGCAGCTGAAATTTTTCTGCACAGCAATACAAAAAAAAAAAAAAAAAACAGAATGGAATGGAATCTTGTCAAAACTACGGAGCCCCTAAAGTGACATGCAGGGAAAAAATAAACTTTAGCGAGATCCCGCAAAACTTTTGCGAGATCTCGCAAAAAAAAAACTTTTTCGAGATCCCGCAATACTTTTGCAAGATCTCACAAAACTATCGGGGGATCTCGCAAAAGTATTGCGGGATCTCGCAAAAGTATTGCGAGATCTCGCAAAAGTATTGCGGGATCTCGCAAAAGTATTGCGAGATCTTGCAAAAGTATTGCGGGATCTCGCAAAAGTATTGCGGGATCTCGCAAAAGTATTGCAGGATCTCGCAAAAGTCCTTTTTTTCCCCTCCATGTCCCTTTAGGGGCTCCGTACCAAACTGACTGACCGGAATAGATAAAAAAAAAAAAATTATGGAAACTGTTCTACCATCACAGCGAAAATTTATTTGAGGCAGGCTAAGTGGAAGTAGGCTACCAGTATCATATATTTCAAGGGAAATTCAGAACAACGAAGGCCAACAAAATTCTGTCATTTTAACACTGCCTGGTCACCACCAGACCTACTGGTAATTACATGTGTCTTTCAGATCAGAATGATAGTGTAAGGCCACTACGATCTATGTGTAAGGATGGGACTTCCCATGCTAATGGCTTGGATTCGTTAGCAAGCATTTCCCCCCTGTGGTACTTGTATGTAACAATCACAAGTTGTTGAGGACAGCCCAGGCACATCGTTGGTTCTAATTATAGCCCCGGCCTGTATACGAGTCCGGCCATTAATTACCTCCGCCGACAGCGAGACCGGGCTGCTAATGGAATACGGCCAATATTAGAGGATTTACGGTATCCAAAAGAATCCCTATTAAACAACAGGAACAAATCTATCAAACAGTCGTTGGGTCTTTGTATGACGAAACATCGCTGTCGGGAAGCAGGTTGGTTAGTTGCTGGGCCTTCAGCGTGATCTTTTCCTTCGCTCTAAACACAAACATCATGAATGTCATTTCTTTAAGAAATAGCTTCAACAAACAGTTATGAAATTGATTAGCTAAGGCCACATACATCTTTAGAGGAAGGTTATTTTTCCAATTTTTTTAGTTTTATTTTTTTGGCAGCAAAACATGTCTCCTCCTACTGGATAAAATATAGAATATATGTCTAGAACTTTTGGACATTTGGTCTAATTGAAGTCACTTTATTTTCCTTGCTTTTATTCATTTATTTATCTTTGTAGCAAACATGAAATCAGAGGTGAACTCTCACCTTTCAGGGAACTCAACATCATCGATGGTGTCGGGCAGCGGAACACCTCTAGTTTCTGGAAGCAGAAGAAGTAAACCGCCAGCCAGGAAGGCCAAACATCCTGCAAAATACAGTATACCATGAAATCAGTCTTAGTAAAAATTTTTCTGCTCATCTGATGATGTCAACATGCATGTCATATACATTTATGAAAAGGACCTCAATAAGCAACCAGTTCTTCTCAAGTTTTTCTTTTAACCAAAGATTTTTCATTAGAGGAAGTGAAAATTAAGTCAGATCCCATGTGTAGAAATCTACAGCAGAGAGCAGCCCTAAAAAGGAGGTAGGACTTTGATTAATATCATATATTAAGTTGAAAGGAGAGAGAAATTTGTGCTGTTTCTATGGAAACATATTTAAAGTTTGTTATAGTCAAACTTTTCCAGAGTATGGAGTGTTTCATCATGAGTTATACATTTGAAATGCCATGACAGGATCATTAGTTATAGTTTTATTGCTGAAAATCCTTCTTTTTGTTCTGCAATTAAATGCTTCTCCACATAAAACCCTGCATAGCCTGAACCTACAACTTAACATTTTTATAACAGCATTCTGACTATTTAAAATATATTTTTTCATCATATCAGCAAAAAGATAAGTAGTTATACTGTATAGTTTGTGATACATTAGGCATTTCAATGCAGTTTATTATATTATATATTTTTAATATTTTTTGTTCCCTACGTAGTTGTGTGATGGTATACATCAGGTTTTCAAAGAAAAAAAGTAATGCACTGATGATGTAATAAACCAGATATCACTTGGCGTTAGATGGTTAACATAAATAAACATCATGTAAGTTAATTCCCTCATTTAACTATTTTAATCATATTATTGACTAAGGATCTTCACTCAATGCCAATAAATGGTGAGTAGGGGTGTAAATCACACCCATCATGGCGATTCGATTCAGTATCGATTTCCTGACCCAACGATTCGATTATTTTCGATACTCGAGAATACACCACGATACGATTCGATTAATCGGTTAATTATTTTTTTTTTTTACACCTTACAGGCTAAACAAAGTTTCAAGTTTGAAATACATCATTGAAAGCTCTAATATCGTTATGCATTTTTTTTTTTTTAGAAACAACAGCAAATAACAGAAGTAGAAAAGTTGCATCAAAAAATGCTGCAGAAAATCAGTGCAATGAGTGCAATGCAATACCTCGGCTCCAGACGTCCCCGCCCCCTCCACATACGCTCCGCTGCTCCTCTCCCAGATTGTAGCTGACCGCAAACAGTGCCGCAGACAGGAGGCCGGCTTGTTTTTTTTTATGACCGAAATTGCGGAAAACAACTTGTGAAGTTTGACCCGCTAAAAGAGTGAGGTGCGCGAGAACGCTGGGACCCTTTTTCCACCTGGATCTCCGCCCTTTTTGGCCCTCAAGTCCCCCCGTCGTCGCACTAAACTCGCCCCCACTTCCTCGCCGCCTCGGCCGTATCTAGACCCACAGTGTGTAGCACAGACCACGCTTCAATATTGAGCATAAATCAAAAATGTCTGTGTCAAGCTCACTGCTGCAACACACTGCTGTAAGAGTGTAACCAGGAAGAGAGGTAGGAGGGCAAAATAGGTTTATCGCCACCGCAGCACGGGAGGGAGAATTACGCCCAGGAGCAAATGGATAAAAATAGACCGGAGAAGAAAAAAAACATGAATCAATTCTCTTGCGGATGTGTCGATGCATCGGATCGTCGGCTGTTGGATCGATGCATCGATAGAAAACGATTATTATTTACACCCCTAATGGTGAGTGGGGATCTGTGTCCACAGACACAGCAAATTGCAAAAAGAAAGAGAAAGTTGATATTTTCCTTATTAAAATGCTTCTTATTACATAGTAGAAATAGAAAATAGAAAAAAAAATAGAACTTTATTGATCTCACAATGAAGAATCAAATCTCTGTATTTAACCCATCCCCTTGGGGAGCAGTAGGCTGCCACTGTGCAGCGCCCGGGGAGCAGTGTGGGGTTAAGGGTCTTGTTCAGGGACCCAGAGTTAAGGCTGTGGGGATCAAACCAGGTACCTGCATTCTTCTTAGAGCACAAGCACACTGCTCTAACCACTAGGCCACCTGAAGACATCATTCCCGCAGCCCATGAACCGGCTGCTATTCTGACTGAGGTAAAACCAATTACTCCCTTACTATAACTAATAGGTTTAAAAAGCCAAAGATCGCACCGAAAATGATGAGTGGCAGCTCTAGCCAGATGACGGCCAGTCTGTAAAGCAGAAAAGGAGCCACAATTCCTCCAACATCACACAGAGTGGAACAAACTGACACTCCGAAGTTCCTAAAGAGAAAAAAACAAGTCAGGTCTAAGCTTAAAAAAAAAAATCTGCTTTTGTCAGAAATATGGATTTCAGCAATCAGTGAAAAAGATTTACCGCACAAATGTTGGGTAGAGTTCAGTGTTTACAAACACCACCATCTCAAAGGTCATGGTGATCCCCAGCCGACCAATGCAGGCAACTACAGTTTTAAACCAGAACATACCTCAGAAGGAAGACAAAAAAGAAAAAGGATGGTTAAGTTGAGAAGAAAGGCAGAACGATAGCAGGAATTTGAGTTTCCCTGAAAGTCTCACTGTCAGGAATGAATGCTGTGATCAAACAGGAGGCTCCGGCCACAATGTTGGCAGCGGCGAATGGCAGCCGTCTTCCAATCCTCTCGATGGTGAAGAGGATGAGGAAGGCGGCAGGGAACTCCACCAACCCGGAGATGAGGAAGTCGATGTAGACGTTTCCTCCCAGAATTCCCAGTCTCATGATTAAACCCTGATAGACGACTGCGCTGGTAAACCTGAGGGATACCGACCAAACAACTCTCAGAAATGTGATCTGGGATTATTTAAAAGTCACCACACAAAAAAAAAATATTAAAAACCATACTTAATAACCACAATCAAATTAAACACAAAATCGAATTATTGCTGGAATTTAAAGAAATATAAGATTTAAGAAGGTTCCTTTAATTAGGAAACTTTCTGGAAACCAGAGAGGTTCTATGGGGCCATTCTAGGCCGTCCTAAAATTCTTTTTTTGTTTTTTTCTCAGTGTCCTGTCTGGCGATGTGGCAATAACAATAATTGTCTTGATGCCAAAAAAGAGCCCAACAGATTTTACTTTCACAAGTGGAGCAGTACGGCTATCGCCATAGTGTTCCACTTGATTTATGCATATAACTTGCTTTATTAAAATTCATGCAGGCAGTTTTACAGATTATATGGACACTGCAATGTAAGTAGAACAGGAAAGGAAAAACAGAAAAAAGGAGTAAAGATGAAAGAAAGAGGAGATAAAATGTAGATAAAGATAAACATTTTCAGTCTGCTTCTTCATCTGCAAAGAGATGTAAAATTCCACTAAATTCTACTGATTCTACCAGATTGAAAACTGAAATTTACACCAAAAATCTACATAGGCAGGGAAGCAAAACTTTTGGGGCTTTAGGTTTGTTAGGTCTGCAGTTCAAATTACCTGTTTACTTAAGCTGTGAAAGAGAGAAACTATTAAAATTATAGCAGTTTATTTCTGGTTCAGGATAGTTATACACTCCTGATCAAAATCTTAAGACCAGTCAAAAAATTGCAAGAATTTGCATTTTGCACTATTGGATCTAAAGAAGGTTCCAAGTAGAGCTTCACAATGTTAAAATAAGAAATCAGCGTACGAGACAAAAACTTTTGAGTGGGGAATTAATTGAAAACTGCTTTTACACTCAAACAAGTTTTCTTTTTTCAGCTGATCAAAAGTTTAAAACCATAACTAAAAAAAAAAACGTGCCGTGTAGAAAACATCTCAGGTGGGATGTTCTTGTCATGCCAGTAACGTTGGAAGCCATCAGGACCATCAAGGTTACATTTTTTCTCATCAGAGAAGACAACTTTCTTCCACCTTTCAATATCCCATGTTTGGTGCACCCTCGTAAAGTCCAAACGGGCAATTTTGTGACGTTGAAGAAGACGTGGCCTTTGAAGATGTTTTTTGTTTCTGAAGCCCTTCTTTCGTAGCTTCGTGAGACCATCCTGATCTCGCGAGCTTTCAAGGTTTCCCTCGCAGATCAGTCTGGCTACTTTCCGTTGAAAGAAAATTTGGAGCCGTTCACCAAACCAACGTCCATTCAGCGTTGGCTTTGAGGCGGGTTGAGGTGTGACGCAACGACAAGCGCGACAGTTCTGTCTAAAGAACATGGCGGCTTCAGCCGATGAAACTAGCGTTAGTGTGGCTATCGAGCAAGTTTTATCGGAATTACAGAGTATTTCTTCACTGAAAGAAGAGCAAAACACTGCTCTGGAGGCTAACGAGCCTTTACCTGCAGCAGCAAGAGTAGCCTGGCTTGTGGTTGTGTTTTCGTCGTCGCTCTGTTAGTACATCATATGCTTCGTTGATCTGATTGGTTTATTTGGCCCGTCTATCACCAACATAGGCAAATCAGCTAACCAGTATTTTCGCCCCTTCCCAAAATTACTTCAACGGAAGGTTTCCAGATGGATATGCGGAGCAAATCCAGCAAATCCATCTGGCGGAGTCAGGTTACTTCTCTCGCAGATGCCGTCCGATGGTTATTGGGCTGCAGTCAGCACCAGTTATGGCCTTAATTTGGGTAGAGGATCGTCCTGTGTCTTGACGGACAGCCAATCGGATCCTGCGGCTCAGAGCTGGGGAATTTTTTTTGGGTCTACCACTTGACTTTTTTGTTCCATAATCCTCAGGATCATTTAAAAAATGCAAAATGACTGTCTTACTGGGTCCAACCTCAGCGGCGATCGCACGTTGTGAGAGGCCTTGCTTATGCACCTCAACAATCCTACCTCGTTCAAAGTCAGTGAGGTTTTTTGCTTTTGCCATCAGGAGGTCTTGACAGTGTAAAGACTATGGTCTTAAACTTTTGATCAGCTGAAAAAATAATGTTTCAGTGTAAATGCAGTTTTCAGAAAATTCCCTGCTCAAAAGTTCTTGTCTCTTGCACTGATTTTTTCTTTTAACATTGTGAAACTCTACTTTGAACCTTCTTAAGATTCCAATAGTGCAAAATGCAAATTCTGGCAATTTTTTGACTGGTCTTAAGATTTTGATCAGGAGTGTGTTCTAACTGAGAAAGGTTCAGGGTAGTTAAATAACAGATCATACACTGCAAAACATAATGTAAAAGTAGATTGTAAGATAATCATTGTAGGATAAAAAAAAAAAAAAAAAAAACGTTGCTCCCTGTCAAAGCTTAAGTCCTGGAGATTTTTCCAGTTATTTTTCCCTAAAGATGTCACCTTAAAGAGGACTTGAACCCTTAAACATGTTATCTGAGTCAGGCAGAGAAATGGTTAACAGAGAACAGCGCTAGGCTCATGTTTTTGATCAATGTTCTAATTTTAAGTGCAAATACACATACTAATTCTACTTAAATGGTAAATGGCCTGTACTTCTAAAGTCCTTACCTGGGTATTTTTACCTGGGTATTTTAAAATTATGTTATAACAGTTTAGTATAGCGTAACAGAGACACATCCTTAGACCTCTCTAAATATAAATCACTTTTATTGAAGGAAAATAAAGGGATTTATAAGAAAGGTGAAACGATCAACAGTTTCAGATGTAAATTCCTATTTTGTCAGATTTCATTTGACTTTAACATCTTTGTCCACAATTAATTTAACATTCATCTTTTCTTTTCTTCCAAATATATGTTCTAAGATAAAGAGTTAAAACTTATTGTCTTGTTGAAATAGAAATCTTCTCTTCTGTCTTTATATAGACACGTACTGACCTATCTTTGCTGCTCTTTGATGGGAAATTGTCTTATATTCAGTAAAATGAGGTTGCAAGTTAAACAAGATCAGTTTATTTTGACTAACTAAGGATTCTAACTGTTCAGATTTAAGCCACTATGTTCTGTTAAAGATAGAAATAACCTCACCAGTTGTAGCTGAGGATAAAGGTGTGTTTTCTCATTTTCGGGGTTCTGATCAGGTCCATGAAGGAGGCAGTGGAGGAATCTGCGTTCTCATCCGACAGAGTCTTCAAAACAAATAAAAAATCGGACAGCTATCATCATCAGACAACAAAAACACATTCCTTTCTTTAGATAGTTTATGCATTTTCTTTATACTTATTTATAAGTATGTAGTACAGAGAGTTACAGAGGTTAAACATAAAAGAAAATGCAATCATTTATTACAAACACAAAACTGTTGTTTTAAAACATCATTTTAAATAAATAGACAATTATCAAGGTTGTAAATGTGGATTTTGGTCTGAATTGTTTGTATGTATGTTCTTTTACATGCATGTATCTAGATATATATAATGAATAATGAGTTTTACTTCTTCATAGCCCTTTTTAGACAATTTCCATTAATCAATGTAATTTCTCTGCCTGTATATACTGACAGGTTTATTTGGTGGAGGGTTTTGTTTCTATTTTTGTTCAGGCGAATATAATAAGTTTGGAAATTTATGTTTGGTTTGTTTGATGTTAATTTTTCTTTTTTGTGTGTATTTGGTTGATTCATGTATTGTTGTTTGTCGAATTGTCTGAAATAAATTCCTTTTCATTCATTCATTAAAAGGTTAAGATTATACTAAACCACTAAACTATGGGGACCTTAATACAAGTAAAAAATAAATACTACTATGATCTATAATAGTAAAGAAAATGTTATTAAAACTTAGAAGAAAACTTTTGTAAATTTTCCAAGTTTCACAAACTAAACACGGTTTGTAGAGTTTCCTTCCTTCTGTCGCTACGTCACGGCAACATGATAAACAAGATCATCCAAACCACCCAGAGATCCAAAGTGATCCAGGTGATAGAAATTATAAAGATTAAATAAGATGTTTCAGTTTGGGAAGTCCCAATCTGAACATCTAGATTCACATACAGCACTGATCGGACTAAAAACAAAGTCCTGGTGCTTTGTTTTTAAACCTATTTTGGAAATAAACTATTGGCTAAAAGTAAAAATTCCTTAAGCAAATATGAAATAAAAATCCCAGAGACATGTTAAACAACATTTAAATGAGACCTACAAGAAGAAAAAATATAAAAAACCACTTACCTATAAATAAGGAAAAAGAAAGAAATTTAATTAAAAGTGCCAAATATTAAATATTTTCTAATTTCAGAACAACACTTGTTGCAAGGAATTCAGATTAAATGTTGTTGTTTGGAAAATCAGAATCTGCCGATTTAAAAAAAAGACCCTATGGCCTAAAACAAAGCTCAAGAGTAGCATTAGAGATTTACACTGGGAAAAAAATGAAAGATAGATAAGAAGTTTTTACTTAAAATAATGGCATTTTTTCTTGGATTGAGGAGATAAAAGAAAAATTTTGCCAATAGAATGAGACTGTCGGGTTCTTAAATAGGTTTTTCCTTAAGAAGAACTGAAATTCACAATTCTGGATACAATTCCTGCAGGAAGGAGAAACAGTTGAACCCCAGACTCAAACATACTGTCTCCCACTGGACCTCCTTGCAAAAATGTTTCATAAGCACACATTAATTTTATAATCATCATTGAATAAACCTGACAGAGACAATGAGAATTTACACTTAAGATAAGAAAACTCAATTGCATTGTCTTATTTCAAGTGCATATTATGTAATTATCTTATTTTAAGAGTAAAATACTCATTCCATTGGCAAACTATCTCATTTACCTACTCAAATTAAGGATAAATACACTAAATTTAAGACATTTTTTTCTTATTTCTAGATCGTTTTTCCAGTGTAGAGATTAGTATTTTGGTTCTCTGACAGCTGATGGATTATGCCACTGATACCTCGATCATCTTGGTCAGAATCTTCTTGTTTTCCTTCGCCATGCTCTTGGTAATCTTCACAGCTTCAGACTTCCTGTTCTGAGACAGCAGCCATCTTGGAGATTCAGGAATAAACCTGAGAGGTAAAACCAAAAAACATGACTTTAAAATGCAGCTCTTAGATTTCATCCAACAGAAAAAGATCATTTGGATCTTAATGATGCTGTTTGTTCATTAATGTTCTCTCTGGAGCCTTTGAGGCGCTACACTTATACTTTTCACAAGGCTTTACTGATCAAGGAGGCCGTAAAGGAATAGTACACCCAAAACATGATTAGCCTTCATTTTCTACTCACCCCCATGCTGAACAACACCCTGGAGTACTTTTTTGATATCTCAAATTCATCTGGAGATCTGGGAGGCTTCTTGCTGTCTGCTGACATTCAAATAATGGAGGTCTATGGCGCCCGAGACAGAAAGGTCCATAAAAGTCCACAAAAAACGTGTCAATATTCCTCCATACTGCTCGTCCAATGTATTCCAAGTGTCCTGAGTGGGTAGCATCCAGAATTTACTCGAAACGAAGTCATTTAGAATGTTTTTAGAGCATAAACAGTAGTGTATAGGATTTCCTGAAAGCGCGCACCTGCGCGATCACGATGCTACGGAAGCCGCGGCAGACCAAACCAGATGAAAGTGCGCATTCAGCTCGGCAAAGAACTCATGCCCTTCCTCAACACTGAAGTCCTCAGACATTTTTCTTTCGTTGTTTCTTTCTTTGCACAGGTAAACAGCACATTTCTTCTTCTACGCTTGCATTATCGGCAGAGCAGACGCTGAATGCACACTTTTATCTGGTTTGGTCTGCCGGCTTCCGTAGCGTCGTGATCGCGCAGGTGCGCGCTTTCAGGAAATCCTATACACTACTGTTTATGCTCTAAAAACATTCTAAATGACTTCGTTTCGAGTAAATTCTGGATGCTACCCACTCAGGACACTTGGAATACATTGGACGAGCAGTATGGAGGAATATTGACACGTTTTTGTGGACTTTTATGGACCTTTCTGCCTCGGGCACCATAGACCTCCATTATTTGAATGTCAGCAGACAGCAAGAAGCCTCCCAGATCTCCAGATGCATTTGAGATATCAAAAAAGTACTCCAGAGTGTTGTTCAGCATGGGGGTGAGTAGAAAATGAAGGCTAATCATGTTTTGGTTGTACTATTCCTTTAAGTTGACGTCTCACCAGTAGTAGGACAGGAAGAGGATGTAAGGGACGGTGATGACCACCTGCAACCATCGCCAGTCTGTGATGAAGTAGGCGAGCAGAGGGAGGATGAGGATGCCGACACTGAAGAACATCTGGTAAATGACTCCCACTGTCCGCCTGAACTCAACCCCAACAATCTCTGTGACTGAGGAGAAAAAAAAACATTCACTGACTACTATAGCTGTTTTATTTTTTCATAGATTTTGGAAGCATTAATAGGCCAGTTCTACCAAGCATTATGTACATGTCTGCTTGGTCAGAGATTCACTTATATCTTTTATTAAAGTGTCTCCTGGTTGGAACAGATGACATTTGCTTCTATTGTGGTTGGTAGAAACATAAAAACTTTGCCACTTTTCTCAGATCAAATGTAAAGAACGTAAAAGGTTCAGGATTCTGTCTTACTCAGGACATATCCAGCCACCCATCCTCCTTTAACACCAAAACCATACAGAGTCCTAAAAACCAGTAAAGAAATGTAGTTGGGAGCCACAGCGACCAGGATGCCGGCGATCCCGTTCAGCAAGTTGGACATGAGGAAGCTCAGTTTCCTTCCAAACCTAAAAAGACACAAACATCAGCTGGGAAATGATCCTAAACTTTGTCCTTTTGCAATGGCGCTGTCACACCTTGATAATTTAGCCAGCATATGCCTGACCTCCTAGAAACTCCTAAAACACTGGCATATGCTGAACTTTCCATGTTTTTTTTTCAATTTTGGGCGTATGCATAGAGTATTCATAACGAGTCCAGAACTTATGCATAGCAGCGTGATGCCCATGAAATGAAACACAAGCCAGTGTCCTGAAGGGGGCAGCAATGCGCATGGAGACGCCCGGTCTGCATAAAAAGCACAAGATTTCTCTAAATTCTGTAGTGGTGGTATTAACCTAGCTGTTTTTAAAGGAATAGTACACCCAAAACATGATTAGCCTTCATTTTCTACTCACCCCCATGCTGAACAACACTCTGGAGTACTTTTTTGATATCTCAAATGCATCTGGAGATCTGGGAGGCTTCTTGCTGTCTGCTGACATTCAAATAATGGAGGTCTATGGCGCCCGAGACAGAAAGGTCCATAAAAGTCCACAAAAAACGTGTCAATATTCCTCCATACTGCTCGTCCAATGTATTCCAAGTGTCCTGAGTGGGTAGCATCCAGAATTTACTCGAAACGAAGTCTTTTAGAATGTTTTTAGAGCATAAACAGTAGTGTATAGGATTTCCTGAAAGCGCGCACCTGCGCGTTCACGATGCTACGGAAGCCGGCAGACCAAACCAGATGAAAGTGCACATTCAGCGTCTGCTCTGCCAATAATGCAAGCGTAGAAGAAGAAATGTGCTGTTTACCTGTGCAAAGAAAGAAACAACGAAAGAAAAATGTCTGAGGACTTCAGTGTTGAGGAAGATCATGAGTTCTTTGCCGAGCTGAATGCGCTGGTTTGGTCTGCCGGCTTCCGTAGAGTCGTGAACGCGCATGTGCGCGCTTTCAGGAAATCCTATACACTACTGTTTATGCTCTAAAAACATTCTAAATGACTTCGTTTCGAGTAAATTCTGGATGCTACCCACTCAGGACACTTGGAATACATTGGACGAGCAGTATGGAGGAATATTGACACTTTTTTTGTGGACTTTTATGGACCTTTCTGCCTCGGGCGCCATAGACCTCCATTATTTGAATGTCAGCAGACAGCAAGAAGCCTCCCAGATCTCCAGATGCATTTGAGATATCAAAAAAGTACTCCAGAGTGTTGTTCAGCATGGGGGTGAGTAGAAAATGAAGGCTAATCATGTTTTGGGTGTACTATTCCTTTAACCACCCGCCACAAGAAAAAGACAAAGACAGAAAAGTTTGCAGTCGTAACTATGGATGAAATTTTGATGGGGACGCAAGTATTTTTAATATAACTAACTTCAACGAATTTGACCATCCAATCACAGACCCGATTTGGTGGCACTTTAGATGTTTGTAAAGTAAACTTTTTAGGAGTGACAGCAGTGATAGCCAATCACACAAGAAGAGACGGTGCGCCAATCAGGAACTTGTTAACCTGACTCCGCCAGATGGATTTGCTCCGCATATCCATCTGGAAACCTTCCGTTGCAGTGATTTTGGGAAGGGGTGAAAATACTGGTTAGCTGATTGGCCTATGTTGGTGATAGACGGGCCAAATAAACCAATCAGATCAATGAAGCATATGACGTACTAACAGAGCGACGACGAAAACACAACCACAAGCCAGGCTACTCTTGCCGAAACCAGTCGGGAGAAGAGCAAAAACATTTTTTCCTCTGAGAAAAGCCTCCAGAGCAGTGTTTTGCTCTTCTTTCAGTGAAGAAATACTCTGTAATTCCGATAAAACTTGCTCGATAGCCACGCTAACGCTAGTTTCATCAGCTGAAGCCGCCATGTTCTTTAGACTGAACTGTCGCGCTTCTCGTTGCGTCAAACCTCAACCCGCCTCAAAGCCAACGCTGATTGGACGTTCGTTTGGTGAACGGCTCCAAATTTTCTTCAACGGAGAGTTTCCAGACTGATTAGCGAGTGAAATTTGAAAGCTCGTGAGATCAGGATGGTCTCACGAGGCTAGGAACTTGTGGGAGGACAGTAAAATGTGAAGGGGACCAAAAGGGACATTTGAAAAATTGCTGGGGATGAGTAACTTACAATTAATGCCTTGAACGATCAGATAACTTACCTGTAACTTATAGCCTGATATGAGATTATGCCGGCATACGTCAAGAAGTTACTTGACATATGTCGTCGTGTGCAAGAGTGCTTCAGCGTGCTCACAACTTATACAAAACTGTCCCATAACTTATCCAACTTATGTCAGCGTTTTTGCCAAATTTTTCGTTTGTCGAGATACGCTGGCTAAATCGTCAAGGTGTGACAGCGCATAACCAAGAGCTGCAATAAGCAAAAAAACTGACCTGTCAGCCAGGTAGCCAATAGCAATGCTTCCAATCAGGAAGCCCACGTTCAGAGTAGCCTGATACATGTCCACCAACCAGCTGTCTGAACACACCAGGTCAAACTGGCAACAGAAAGTTTCAGTTAGGAAACTTACTTTGAAATGATACTTTAGCACAGTTATCAGGGAGCTTATAGTGACTTGATGTTATCTTAAAGACATAGAGAGCGATATTTTATTTCCGGGTGGATCATCAAAATAAGTGGTCCTCCTAATTATCAATCATTCTGTTGAAATGTTTACGTAAGGCTGTCCTACATGCTTGTCTCTCGTTTTTTTGCTATGGCTATTTTTTTTTTTTATTACAGACCAAGCACACAAACTCGATGGATTTTAATGAACACAGTTTAAAGATTAGCTTAACTTTTGATCCTCAAAGCTGTCTTATATTTCACAAAACTAAAGAAAATATATTTTCTTACATACCTTTTTGAACAACTTTGGCTTATCTTAATGAGGAATCAACTTTGGATATGATTTTAATTTCAACATCACCAGCCGCAGTACTGTCTCTGTCGCCTTTCTCTGGTTACGCCTCAGTCCGTATCCCCGGCTCCAACTTAATAAATTTTATTTTTCATTAAATAATAGAGATGCAGATAATGCAGTCACTATGTTAAATTAATTCATTAACTTTATTTTAATCAAAAACATCACAAAATAGCATAATATCACACCAAGATCCCCAATAAACCTGCATTTCAGTTGACTGCAGGCCCACAAACGTCACCTTTAGCACGGCAGAGCTCCCAAGCGCCACCTGGTAGTTGTCGGGGTACATTGCAGTTCTTTTTTAAATAAAAAAAACTGGCCTCAGGAAATACATCGTGATTCACGCAGGAATCACGCAGGAATCACGCAGGAAACCGTCCATTTCCAACCAGTACCCACTGTATCTTTTTGTGCGCATGCGCTCTTTTAGCTTTATATCTGTGGTGAGCTACGGTTTTAGACAGTCATTGAAGCTCAATTTTCTCACCGCGGTTCTTTAAAAATGGCCATGGTTCGTAAAAGAAAAAGTGTCAACGAAGTGTATGTGAAGAAAAGACAGGCCTCAGAAGAGGCAGATCTATTCCATAATGCTTTGCAGGGGTTGACGGTAAGTCCTTTGGGCAAGTGACTTTCACATTTTATTTGCCCAGAAACACTTTTTACTTGCCCAGTATAATGTTTGATAAATATAGTTCCTAATATTCATTTTTGTATATATATCAATGAAACATGTTTGTTTTTAAATGTTTTTTTTGTAATTCAGTAAGTTTCCAGGTTCCTGGTGTGTATCTGCATGCGTCAGATAATGAACTCAAGCCTACATTACCGTGTTAACATGCTTTTCAATCCTTCCTGCAAAAATGGCGCTGGCAAAGCTTGTGGGTCATTTTCAGCGAATGTCGGTGATTTTGTAATTTTGAGCGATAATTTTTTTTGCGATCATTGCACTTGCCCGGGGGGCAAATGCAATGAAATTTTTACTCTCCCAACAATAAAAACGACTTGCCCTGGGCGATCGGGCGATGGTTAACATCGAGCCCTGCTTTGTGAGGAGAGCCCTCAGCGCAAAGCATTATGGGATTTGCTGTCACAGCGGCCTGCTTTCGCCATAGGCTGCCGCTACCCGACAGCAGCAACTAATAACAAAGATGGTGCCGGCACCTCGCAGTGGACCAACGGGGAAGTGATCATCTGTCCGAACAGTAAGTTAACTGAGTCCACGATATAGTCCCCGCTCTATATAATGATTTAGGAGTTAGGGTGGACGCTCGAACACAGTAAGCCTGTATGAGCTATGAGAACAGCCACTTTTAAACAGCGAGAAATGGACCCTTTTTTTAAGTGGAGAGAGTAGATCTTAAAAAAAAAAATAGTATTAGAGTATTTCTGATCCCTACAGTGAGCTGAAAACATTGTTTTTTCATGTTTGAGGTGTTACTTTAAAAAAAAAGGCCAAACCTAATGGATGAAACAGCGCCAGAGCTACTGTGGGAGGGATTAAATCAATGCTTAAGAACGGCCTAGTCAAAGTCTAGATATAAATTCAATGAAAAGAAAGTCAAATTAAAATCCAAAAACTTAACCACCTGTATCTGACTTTCCTCACCTCTGTGACAAAGGACTGTCTCCCCTCTTAGTCGTACTCCCAGCCCTCAGTGCACCTGACAGTGGGAGTCCTGCTCCAGTCCTGCTCCTGTGGATTGCAGCTGAGTTCGCTCACATTCCAGTCCAAGTCGAATCGCTCGCAGCTGCTTTGCTGCAAAACTCCCGAGATGTTGACCAGCGGCGCCGTCAGCCTGCGGCTTTCCTCCCGGCTCCATCCGCAGGCCTCCCTCCTCTCGACCGCTGCTGAGTCCCTGCACCAGTGGTCCGGGGTGAAGCCCTGGAAGACGATGCCCACGTACACCCCGGCCCATGGCATGGACACCAAACACAGCAGGGCAAAGATTCGCTTCTGGCAGTGGCCGAACTTCCCCGCTTCCTCCAGGATGTCGTCAAAGGTGGCCATCAGTGCACAGACGGGTGACTTCTGCTTCAAACAGCTGATCTGTATGCTGAGCCTCCCTCTGCACACTGACTATTCACACTCTGGCCCACTGGGGTTTTTAATAGGACCAACTGGAGCAAAGGTTCACAGAAAATACGTCTGTTCTTAGCATGCTGTGCACCCGAGCATGAAAAACACATTTGCTATGACTTTACAGACGTCAGACGCACAGTAAGAAGTTGGCACAGGGCCTGTATGAATTACTCAGATCATCATTAACATAAGTGCATCTGATGGAGCCGCCTGTCCCAGAGATGCAGGCAGTTAAGATTTAAAACTGGATGTCTGAGAGAAAGGGGGGACAAACAGGACAGATGAGTCCACATCAAATACTGCAAAAGTCTGAACTAATGCAGAGCTGTCGTCAAGACAACCTGGGATCAGATTCAATCATAACATACTCTTATTAAACCTTTAATAAGACAACATTTTGGTACCTGTCAGGGAAGCCAAGAGTCAATCTAAACCAGACCAGGTGTCATTAGCTAAGCCACCTACCTTACTACAGGTAGTGACGGATAAAAGAAACAGGACATTTTTTCTAAATTTACTATTTTTAACAGTATTGTTGGAGCAAATAAACCGTTTGAGACTTTACCAGAATGTTTATGTTATGCTTTAGTTTGTTTTTCCAGTAAACAATAGACTTCCAAACATGGGTGGTTACAGATGGGGGCCATCAAGGGCCAATGTCCCTTTATAACTGTTCCTGTCCTGTTAGGGTCCCTATACTGAAAACCTAACACCAAATCAGTTTTGCATGATGATATACATTGGCATATTTATCATTGTTACTTTAACAATGATTTAAGCCTGGTTCTGCTGGAGGTTTCTTCTTGTTAAAAGTGAGTTTTTCCTCCCCACTGTTGCTACAAGCATGCTTAGTGTGAGGGATTGCCTTTAAGTCAATCAGTCGATGCAATCAACTGGTTTTCCTTAGATAGAAAACTTTGAATCAATTTGACTGGATGATCTGGTGAACTCTAAAGTGTCTTGAGATGACATGTGTTATGAATTGGTGCTATATAAATAAACTGAACTGAATTATTTTCATTCTTTTCTGGGGGTACCATTGTTATTATCCTGTCCTGTTTCATGAGTTTGTTTCTAAAAATCATTCTGTTGAAGCATGGTTTAACAGCAATGTCTGACTTTGATTTGCTCATTTTCATAAAGGTTTTATTCACTTTTGTCAGATTCAAGTTAACTTTGTGACCAATGTGGGTTTCTGTCATTAAATGAGGGATACCAACAATTCTGTCCAAATGCGAACATTCATTCTAATTAAATTACAATGTTTAGATATTATAACATGTTTATAAGTGAATGCACTGCACAGCACTTCGCCTATATCTTCAGGCACATGGGTCAAAAAATTCAATAGCGTAAAAAGTTCAACTGAATATTTCATAAAGAATATCAGATTAAGTAATTCTTAAGGTCATTGATTGTTTAATTTCTGTAGGTTTTAGTTTAAAAAGTCATCAGAAAGAGAGAAAAATACAAGAACAGAGTGCAGATCTCTTCTTTATTCAAATAATGCATTATTCTTTACAACATTTTTTTCTTTTTTAAATAAGAAAACTGGGAAAAAGCTGCAAATAAAAAAACTAATTTAAAGCTACAGTGTGTAATAATTACAGGGATATAAAGTCAGAAATTTAATATATTATACATAACTATGTTATTTATCATCACCTATGAGCTCAGCCTTTTAACCATAATATTTGCGTTGCCTTAGAATTCGTTATTTATAATTACATAGGAGCGGGTCTCGCAGCCATGGAGGCTGACATCTTTGCGCTACGGCAAGCGCAGAGGCAACAAACTAGCGATTGCGAGATCTCCCATGACGCTCAAAAATAACTACGGCAAGTTGAGAGAGATGAACTGAGACGGTACTGAACAGTAGATGGCAGTATTATGCCTGAGAAGCGTTTAGTCTGCCTGAAACCAAAGAAGAAGAAGAAGAAGCAGGTATACTGCGCCTCAGTAACAAGAAAGGTGAACAAGGCGGCAGGCGTGAGTGACTTTGCAAACTGTTTGGCACTGTGTGGCCAAACATCAGACGAATGGAGGATCATGCCTACTCTGTATCACAACGAAAAGCGGCGGACACCGAACCCCCGTCATCTAAGAAGCGGAAACACGACGAGAATAAACGCAAGCGTGACAAGAAACGGCAAAAAACACGGATCAACATTGGCACGGCATTTACACGATGGAAGTCACTGATGGAGGAAAAAGGTTTTCAAAGTGACGCTCAAGTTGCCAGTTTTCTCTTGGACAGGTAATTAATCCTACACACACAATTGCCTAATATCACTGCAGTTTTTGGAGTACAGGATGCTCAGACCTGTCTAAAACAATAACATGCTGCGGCGTGATGATGCTGTTCCTCTCCAGTATACTTATTCAGCAACGTCCCTGACGTTTCATAGGTAATAGAAATAATTTTCTGGATATATACCTCGGTTACTTCTCTCCGGCTCCTTTGGAGATCTTCAAGCCTTTCCTCCTCTGCTCTCACCCCGCTGGCTCCCCTCTCTCGCCTGGCCCTAGCTGCACGGCCTCCCTGCCCTCGCCCTCTCCCTCTTCCTCGCGTTGTAACCCCCGTGCCACCAAAATGACTTAGACTCTGTAAACGGGGAATATATATTCTTCCAGCGAACACAATCTCGCTGTTAAACTAATGACTACAATTACTTCGTCTGTTTATATCACCATGCAAAGCAGCTCACCAAAACGTCACAACGATGTAGAAAAAATAACGGGTATATTTATTATCTTAAGTCTACATGAAATCTATACCCTACTCAGACTAATGAAATACTATCTGTAAAATTATCTATGTAAACAAACCTCATCACTTGAGAAGGTAGGTGATGTGGACGTCGTGGAAGAAATTTTGTCCCGTAACGCTCGCCGTACTGTTGGGGGGGAGAAGCGGTGGGGGGGAGATGTTCATGTTGCTGCGGTCTGCAGTCTGACCGCTAGATGTCGCTGAAAATTACACACTGTAGCTTTAAACAAACTCAAATATTACAAACCCCATTGTACCAAATCATCATCTGACAAGATTTCATCTGCTGTTTTCTTTTCTTTTAAATCACAGCTCTTTCTAATTATAGATTTTAACCAACGTTAAAGAGTTTCGAGGACGAGAAAGTTGAGCAAACTGTTTGGGAATCAGAACGATACCATGCAGATGAGCCAAAAGGACTACGGTGCAACAGAAAGCTGATGGTTGGTGGCGAGGAACGCCACTTCTCGTCTTCATCAAAAGGCAGCTACAAAGTTCACCACCCAGTAGTTCAAACCACCTTCTGACAGGATCTGGAAAATGATTTTTATATTTAAAAAAATTTAGAACATGGCTGTTTATTTAGATATTGGATCCAAATTCATATCAGCAGTGTAATGATTTTATCCATCTTCTAATCCTTAGAGAAGTAATCAAAAAAAATGGACGGAAGGATGATTCGCCTCCTCTATCTCTCTCTTCAATGTCAAAATGTTTGTGATGTTAATGCTCGAAACAAGAGCTTTGATCAGTTTATTATTTGTCATTTGTTTCTAATCAAGGTTATAGAAAGAAACAAGCAGGGATATTCTCTAGTCCTAATAAAGTATTTTAATTCACTTTATTTATATAGCGCCAATTCAAGCCAATTTTAGAATTTGTACTTAAAATATGTTTTTGTTAATTTCGGGTTTATTTGGAGTGATTCAATCTAAGGTTGGACTTCTATTTGTCTTATAGTGAGATTTGTTATGAAACCAAAAGAAGAACGTCAGGAGTATATTTCATGTTTAGATCAAGGCTACAGATAAATGCAACATTTCTCTTTCTGGTTAAGTGTTTTGAGAAGAATCTTTTGATGTTTTAGGGATGGTTCTTGTCATGGATATTGACATAGATAAACAGCTTCTATTAGAGGGGGAAAAAACATTACATCTTAATGGTACTGATGTCAATCCAGTGCATTAGAAAAATGCAGATATATTTCAAATCTCTCCACACCAAAGCAATGCAAAGATGGCTGGTAATGATGACACACAGGTTTGTTTAACTTGTTTTGACTCAGCAGTGGAAAAATTTTTAGTTTATTTGTTAACATTTGTAATATGGCAAGCCAAGTAGTTATATAATTAATGCAATTTGCATGAACGGTGTTGTTCAATATTGTAAGACATTTTAAGGAAGGTTCTGTGTCGTCTCTTTTGGAACCAGATTTATATCACATATAGTGCAGGTCCTTGTTTTCCTTTCCTAACAAATTATCTGAGAGTTTTATTTGTTTGTAAGCATTTCTTTACTGAACTTAAATAAGAAGAAAAGTATTTTTACTTTTCAGTGACGTAAACAACCTACTGATTGAGACTCGGTAACAGGAAACCATATAGGCTTACACTGGAAAAACGATCTAGAAATAAGTAAAAAATGTCTTAAATTTAGTGTATTTATCCTTAATTTGAGTAGGTATATGAGATAGTTTGCCAATGGAATGAGTATTTTTACTCTTAAAATAAGATAATTACATAATATGCACTTGAAATAAGACAATGCAATTGTGTTTTCTTTTCTTAAGTGTAAATTGTCTCATTCCATTGGCAAAAATCCAAGAAATTTAAGAAAAAACTTCTTATCTATCTTTCAAATTTTTTCCAGTGTAGTTGTCAATTCTACTTTTGAGCAGAAAAGGTAACCCAGGGTGTGTTTATGTGCTATTGAATCAGATTAATCTATTGAATTAATTACTATTTATAGTTAATTTTTAATTACGAGAAAGAAACGTTAGCTCTATAAAATAATAAAAACTTTTGTTTGGGATGTGTCTTTCCTTCTATTTGATTTAATTAAGGATGTTGCTGTAAGTTTTTGTAAATTTGGAGGTTACTTAGACAAAAGGCATTTAAGAAAACATCCGGATCACATGCGCCATTTTAAATCGTGGTGCTAATACAGCGACAACATCTCAGCGATCAGAGATTCTCTGATTACTTTGTGAGGTATCTTTCCCAAACACTGTAAAAAAACACTGTAGATTGTTTTCATCTTGGTTATTTGTGGCACGCTTTGCAAATACTGATGTAATTTTTGCTTAGCCAGGTGTGAGCTCTGACACTAAAAAATCTGTATTTAAAACCTGCAGATTAAGGAGATTAAAATGGGGATCTGCAGAAATATGGCTTCCAAACTTTCCCTTCAGTCGACCATCTATTCCTTCTTAAGGCCTTTTCTATTTTAACACACAGAGACGTAGAGAAAAGCTGTTAAATGGTCATAAAACATGTTTGAGTGACACAGCAGACGAGATGAGAAAAAAAAAACATTTTTAACATAATCGTTCAAATATACAAAGAACTCGCCAGACAAGATTCGCAGATGAAAATCATCATCATCAGGAAGGCATCAAACTGTCTTTAAGGGGAAAGAAAGAAAAAAAAAAAGAGCTGCTCTGCTAGCAGCTGTAAACAGTGTCTTCGTTCCCTTAATAACTCGGCCGAGCCGAAGCTGAACAGCCTGCCAAAAAAAACGCCGAAATGCTTCACAGCTTGACAGCTTTTCTAAATGTTCTTATAGCAAAAAAAAAAAAGTTTCCTGCAGACGTTTACGTTGTACTGATTTAATCAAAGTGCTAAAGCAATGGCACGGCTATTTCAAACTGAAAAAATAAGAAAGTAAAGAAGTATTATGGTTTAATTTTCCCACTGAGGAACGTTTGCATTCAGGGTTCGAATGTGGCAGAGCTACGGGAGATCATCTAAGAACACAGGTTGCAGGCACTAACGGCCCGGAGGACAGTTTAAATAATAAACCTCTCAATAAATTAAAATCAGCTTCGGCAGCCTGAGTCCAGATAAGCCGAGAAAAGGTGCGGCGCAACGAAAAAAACCAACCGCCTCGCACCAAAAGGAGATATCTGTTGGTTTCATCGCTGCCCTCTTCAAGACATTCACTGAAAGAAGAGTTCGTATGGATGGAGGGACAGACGAAGGGCGCTGTGACATCACACCCTGAGGAGGTCCTCGTCGCTGTCCTCGTCCTCCCGTCTCCGGCTGTTACTGGGATTGCTCCCTGAGGAGCGAGGTTTGCTGCTCCTCCTCGCCCTGTCCGACTCCTCCAACAGACCCACCAGGTCTTCATCGCTCTCCTCCTGAAAGAAGGAGAACAAAAACAACTTGAGGTGAGCTTTTGGAGACCAGCGGAAAAGACGCCTTAATGGGAGCAGGACTTCCTCGGACCTGAAGGAAGGCGCTGCGCTGAGTCCTGGTGACTCCTGAGGGTTTGAGGACTCGGACCCCCGGGACGCTCAGCACCTCGTCCTCGCTGTCCTCGTCCTGCTCGTCCAGAGAGAACGAGCGAAGGCCGTCCGTGTTCACCGGCTTGGTCCTGATGTGGCCGTTGCTATGGTTACTCCTGCTGCGCTGCGAGGTTGAAGAAAGGGGGGCTTCGAGCTCCTCCATCAGCCACTCCATCTCCTCTTCACCTCCTTCTTCATCGGTGTTAACCTGAGGATTGAAGGGCCGATTAGCCGCAGAGCTTAAAAACAAACCAGAAGCGCTTCCCTTTCCGTAGGCTTAGAGAAAACTAACCTTTGAATATTTATAGGAGATTTGATTTCCTTTCTTGCAGCAGCCGGCGACCTTCTGCATCACCAGCTCGCTGGAAGAAAACATAGTTTGATTTGACAGAAGGTAGAATAAAGTAGGGCTGGGCGATATAGAAAAAAAAGCTTATCGATAAAAAAAAATGCATATTGATCGATATCGATAATTATTAAAAAGATTTGAAACCATATTTTATGTGCAGCTCTGCCTGGACTTTTTATAATATTGCTAAATGATTTAATTTTAATAAAGAACCCAAACACAGACTTCAAATTAAATCTTTATTTAACCAACTTTTTTAACCATAACAGAATTGTTTTAAAGAAAAATAACTTAAGAGACCTGAGTTATGTTATTAAATACTGACAAAGAATAAACTAAAGCGACCAGAAAAGTGACCAAAATAAACATAACAAATAAATACATGGACCACCCTGACTCTCTTTTTTTCTATTGCGCCACACGTCTATCGATCGATATATATCGTTATTGAATTATCGCCCAGCCCTAGAATAAAGGGCAATAAAAAAAAAAACTCCTGATGGTTTCTTAGCCTTACCGTCGTTCTTTCTTATGCAGCAGAAACCCCAACAGACAGACGATGAAAACCACCAACAGGAGGCCCAGCATCAACCCCAATGCCTGGCTTCGGCGGGATATATTTGGGGAAACCAGGTTGCCGTCGGACGTCTGCCGATTGACGGTTCTGCAGAGAGTCAACCTCATTTTAACTCCCTGAATAAAACCGTTAAATCTAATAGTGTAGAAGCTGTGTACTCACGTCAGCCCACACACAGCGTCCGTATACCAAGCAAACGTGTACTGGCAGTTATCCGTCTCCCTCCTGAACTCCGGGATGCCGACGCCCGCTGAAGGGTTGCAGTAGAACACGATGAGGGAAGAAGCGTTCTTGCTCTTCTCCCGGCCGCACTGCGACTCCGAGGGAACTTCCACTTCCAGGTTTCCTCCTGGAGACGGTCAGGCAGGTATCGGTGTTTAGGAATTTATAACCATTATCATCATCCTCTCAGACACACCGAGAATCTACATGCAGCTTTTAATGATACTTGCTTGCTTCTAAGTCTTTTGGTTTGCATCATGCATTTAAGTGACAGACTAAAGTTAACAAATTTTATTGATGTTTTTCATTTTTTCTATCACCTAGTTTTAAATCTGCAGTAATGAGCAACAATAAAAATGTTATAAAACAAACTGGAAACGGCAGCGTTCAAATCTTTGTTTGTTGCCGAGGTTTCAGATTCAAAGAGCAGAACTTCAGGAGACAACGAAATCAAACTGTCCAGCAGCGTATGGACCGAACGGCGCTCTGGTCCTTTTCATTTAGTAGCTGTTCTGGTGTTGGAAGCAGAGGATCAAACCTGCTCTGTTTTTACCAGGAGTGCCGCCTAATCACAGCACTTTGTTTTTTGTAAAACTTCTGCACGACATGGATACCCCTGATCTAAGTTGGATTTAATGCAGAAAAAGTAGAAATCATTCAAATACAACTTAAACCTTCCCTTCAAAGCTGTGAAATCAATTGGTAAAGTAGATTAAATTTAAAACTTTAAAAACTGCTCATAGACTTGTGACTTTAACACCTTTGATCTTAGACCCGTTTACTTAAAAAGACTTGATATTTTATCCAAAATCTAAACCACTAATTTAAAGAATTTTATTTATTCCATAGAAAAAAAATAAGACGTTGTCTGTGTCTTTTCACACTCCGTACGTGTTCATGCATGAGCTGCAGCACAGCTAATCAATTTTTTTAGTATTTCTCATGGTTACATAAACTGCAAAGTGCTCAAATAAATACTAATTTGAAGTTTCCGACACACAAAAGAAGAGAATCAAAGATGAAAAGAACTTCCTCCCACTCAGTTTTATTAAATGTTGATAAATAAATGCTTATTTACCTTTAGTATCTAATTCACCTGTTTAAAAAAAAAAAAAAAAAGACGGGAAAGGAGCTGAAATTTGAATTTTCAGACATTTTCAAAACAAAACAATGACTTGGTCCCAACTATGGAATAAATTACCTTTGATTGTCTTTTTTTACATGATTGAATCGTGAAAAAATAATCCTTGGATTAACTACTATACATATATACAGTATTTTCGCGACTATAAGGCGCATATAAACATCTTTTTTTCCCCTCAAAATGTGTTTTGCGCCCTTTAGTGCGGAGCGCCCTATGTGTGTTGTTATTGCGGACGTTGTTGAGACCGCCATGAGAACATTAAAGGGGGAAGTGTGGGCGTGGATTGGCTGCCACGCAAATGGACAGAAACTGCCGCCTATGGTGATTTTTAGGAGAAAGACTTTGCCTAAAGAGACTTTTCCAGCTGGAGTCGTTATTAAGGCAAATGAAAAGGTCTGGATGGATGAGGAGATGATGAAAGCGTGGCTGAGGCAGGTGTATGTGAGGAGACCAGGTGGTTTTTTTCCACGCATTACCATCGCTGTTAATATGTAACTCCATGCGTGCCCATCTCACAGCCGATGTGAAAAACATGGTGAAACAATTAACGCTGTGCTCGCCGTTATCCAGGGGGTCTGACAAAGGAACTTCAACCGCTCGACATCGGTGTGAACCGGCCGTTCAAAGTAAGGCTGCGAGCGGCGATGGATGACAGACGGAGACCACAGTTTCACGATAAGTGGAAGGCAGTGCCGGGCAAGTTACGCCACCGTTTGCGGATGGATTGTAGATGATTACACTAACGTGTCTGCTGGCTCTGTTGTTCAAGCTTTCACAAAAGCCGGCATTATTCCTGAGGAGCCGCCCGGCACGGAAAGTGACTCTGACAGCGAAGAAGGGGAAATTGGCATGTCTGATTTAGCGCAGCTGTTTAATTCAGAAACAGAGGATGATGACTTTGATGGGTTTGATTAATACTTTGTAATAAATACATGAATAAAGCACAAACGTACTCAGTTTTGCTCCCGCTCTATTTTTAAATACGCAGTAGAGGTATTTAAACATAGTACAGGACATGTACCGCGCCCTATAATCCGGTGCGCCTTATGTGTGTGTTAAATACAGTAATGGCACACATAACTGAGAGTGCGCCTTTTAGTACGGTGCCCCTTATGGTCGTGAAAATACGGTATAACTATTACTGCAGCAATTTATGGTTAGACTAATTATTACTTCCCAGTGATTAATCTAAATATTTTGAGATTTTTTTTTTTATAAAAACATCCCAATCTTAATATATTTTTGATATTAATCATATAACTAAAGGATTTTAGTAAAGAAAAGTATATTAACATTTTAACCATGTATGAGACAATTAATTCATTTTGAAATTCTTTTTAAACCTTTTAGAGACTTTTACATTGAAAAGCAACAATAACATTTATAAGACAATCTGCATAAAAAGAGAGGCCCCAATAAACCAGCCCTTTTTTTAAACAGATGCTATTTTTTTCCTTCTTAACCACATTAGTTACCTGCAATGTAGTACTTTGCTTTGTCAGAAGAGCCAATCCTACGTCTGTAGTCATCGTTCAGCTTCACCTGACAGATGTTTGCACCACGACACTTCGGCAGGGAGGGGTTGGTGATGCCGGACAGCTGGATGTGGTAGATGTAACGGTCGCCATTAGTACGGATGTCGCCAGAAGCCTGATGTGGGCTGAAGCAGATGAAAATAAGGTTGTGTGCAGTTTTTAGAATAAACCATCCATTTAAAGCAGATCTCAGTTTTTCCATGATTAGCTTCATAAACTGTACAAAAGCTTCTCCTCGAACAAAGGAAACAAGACTTGATTAAATGTAGTTAAGGCCTTAAAAGGAGCAAACTAGCTTTATGTTAACCTTAAAATTCTTTACCATGCAACGATTGAAGACTACTGACTTGGTAACAAACTGCATGACCTGAGAAAACTCGAATAAAATCATATTAACCAGTGTTTGAATTAAGCACAGGGCAGTCTAATATTCTCACAGAATAATTACAGATAACAATATCCTGGCTTTATGCCTTTAGTGCTGAAATGAAATCCATTACTAAAAAGGGGAACGTTGACATCTTCATATTGTCTTTATATAAAAATAGAAAAAATAAATGCTTTTCTAAAGCTGCCAAACATAAGCTAACACATTTATTGCACAGTTGTTGTTACCGTTATCAGAAACTGACAGTTTTTTTTAGAAAAATGCCTTTTGTGTGAAACAATAAGGCTTTTTTAGAGCAACCCTTGTTTAGGTCACTGGTTTCCTGCAAGTTTCTATTTTTGATCCTTTCTGATTTAATCCATTCATAACAACCTCACATAACGCATAATGTGTGGTAGCCTCCATCTAGCGAGCTCAGCATGGGTTTAACGCTGATAAACTTAGGTTAATTGTAGGGGTGTAAATGATAATCGTTTTGTATCGATGCATCGATCCAACAGCCGACTATCCAATGCATCGACACGTCCGCAAGAGAATCGATTCATGTTTTTTTTTCCTCCGGTCTATTTTTATCCATTTGCTCTTGGACGTAATTCTCCTCCCCTGCTGCGGTGGCGCTAAACCTATTTTCCCCTCCTACCTTGCTTCCTGGTTATACTCTTACAGCAGTGTGTTGCAGTGAGCTTGACACAGACATTTTTAAATTATGCTCAATATTGAAGCGTGGGTCTAGATACGGCCGAGGCGGCGAGGAAGTGGGGGCGAGTTTAGTCCGACGACGGAGGAACATGAGAGCACCTCGCTCTTCTAGCGGGTCAAACTTCATGAGTTGTTTTCCGCAATTTCGGTCATAAAAACATAACAAGCCGGCCTCCTGTCTGCGATCAGCTACAATTTGGGAGAGGTGCAGCGGAGTGTCTGTGGAGGGGGCGGGACGTCTGGAGCCGAGGTATTGCATTGCACTCATTGCACTGATTTTCTGCAGTATTTTTTGATGCAATTTTTCTACTTCTGTTATTAGGCCCGAGCAGCAAAGCGCTGCGAAGGCCTATTGTATTTCGAAAGTTTCTTATTAGGCCCGAGCAGCTCACCGCTGCGAGAGCCTATTGTTCCTGTATCGTTTGTTATTAGGCCCGAGCAGCTCACCGCTGCGAGAGCCTATTGTTCCTGTACCGTTTATTAGGCCCGAGCAGCTCACCGCTGCGAGAGCCTATTGTTCCTGTATCGTTTGTTATTATTATTAGGCCCGAGCAGCTAAGCGCTGCGAGAGCCTATTGTATCTGTAATGTTTATTATTATTATTATTATTTTTCTCCTTACAAATAAAATGGCTTTTTGGAGGCTTTATCATATTCCAAAACTCACCAAACTTTGCGGACGCATCAGACCTGGTGAAAATTTACGTATTTTAATGGCCCCGTGAAAGTTGCCAACCAAATGCCTCAACGGCGCCCCCTCAAAATTTTCAAAATACCCTCCCCATTGACCTTTTTTTCTCATAGAGACATGAACATTGGCACACTTGTAGAGCGTCCTCACACTTACAAATAAGTCAATTAACGTCATACTAAATTATGCTCAGGGAGTCCGCCATCTTGGATCAAATTTCAAATTTTGACTGTGATTTTGCATTTTTAGCCTCTATATTTGATCGAACTCCTCCTAGGGACGGTGAGCCATCGGCTTCAAACTTGGCATGTATGCAGATAAGGCATGTGAGATCTAAACTTATCAAACTTTTTGAGTTTTCCAGCATTTTAAAGGGGTGTGGCCAGGCCTCGAAGTTGGCGTACTCGCCAACACTTTTCGAAGCGCAATAACTTTTACATATAAACGTGAAATGTCACGAAACTTGGTAGTATTAATCCTCTCTGGGTTCCCAACAAAACTGTATATTAAAACTTTGACATGATTGAAGCCACGCCCCCTGAGAACCGGAAGTCACGTTTTTTAATTGGAATGGTCCCTCTCTGTCCTACTTGACCTCAACAACCTAAAACTGTGTCAGCTGACAGACAACACGTTGTCCTAACTTCGTTTAAGGCACAGAGAGTCTGAGTTAAATGGTGTTGCCGTGGCGCCATGGCGAAGTGAGGTGTTTCGCCATGAAAATACGATTGGCTCTCATTTCCTCATTTATAAGCAGATCTGCACCAAAATCACAAGAGATGATCCTAGTCCAACTCCAAACAGGAATCCAGAGCAATATTTTGTGGGCGGGGCTTAATTTCACCACAGCGCCCCCTAGAAATAACAAATTTCGAACCACCAGCCCCAAGCCGTTTTTAGTCCTAGAATATTGAAACTTTGAACACATTTGCACCTCATCAGGCCCTAACTAAAAGCCTCTTGGACCCATGGTCTAAACCCCACCGGAAGTCGGCCATTTTGAATTACATTTTACTCTGTTGTGAAAGCACTGATCTGTTTTCAAAAAATTGTATAAAATCAGTATTTTATCCAAATGAGCTAAAACTTTCAAAATATGTTCTTTATAAAGCCTGCTGTAAGTTGGTTACAATAGCAAAGCGCTTCTTTAAAGTCCGTCACTCTGATTTTTCAAAAGTTTGCGTTCTCGCCTAATAGTTGGTCAAGTGGACAGATAATGCCAGGAAATAATTCAGCCCCTAGCCATGCTCATATCCTCGTATCTGTAATGTTTATTATTATTATTATTATTTTTCTCCTTACAAATAAAATGGCTTTTTGGAGGCTTTATCATATTCCAAAACTCACCAAACTTTGCGGACGCATCAGACCTGGTGAAAATTTACGTATTTTAATGGCCCCGTGAAAGTTGCCAACCAAATGCCTCAACGGCGCCCCCTCAAAATTTTCAAAATACCCTCCCCATTGACCTTTTTTTCTCATAGAGACATGAACATTGGCACACTTGTAGAGCGTCCTCACACTTACAAATAAGTCAATTAACGTCATACTAAATTATGCTCAGGGAGTCCGCCATCTTGGATCAAATTTCAAATTTTGACTGTGATTTTGCATTTTTAGCCTCTATATTTGATCGAACTCCTCCTAGGGACGGGG